GATTTAAACCTGCAAATTCTTTGCCATATCGACAGACCGAAGGGCTAGAACCCAAATGGCCGCTGGATCGGAAAAGTAAAGTAAAGTAAAGTAAGTTCACTTACAGTGACAGAACAGAATATGTACAGGCATTAATAATTTTAATCCCGTGGCAGAATGTTTGACCATGGTGAACAAGACCACGGTGGGCAACCAAGACTGGTTTCCATGGCTATTTCAGAGATTTGAAGGAAAAATCCCTCATAGAATCTGGAAGAACTATCTTTATAGTCTGCCCTTTCTTTCTCGAGACTTCCTCAAAACTTAAAGAAATTTCGATCCTTTATTCTTTGCTCTTCAAACCAAGTAGATTTTCTTTTTCTTGTTCAATTTTTGGAGATCACAAAACTATTGACGCATTAATTGTGAGACGTGCTGACAAAACGAGTTACTTCTCACAATCCACAAATGGAGTTATTGGCCACAAATCGACACTAGAGTAAAATTTGTAGATTGCTCATTGATGTCATATTCTGTAAGTATAACATGCCTTATATTATTTCATATTTAAAAATTGTGAAAACTTCACCTATAAGTGTGACGTAGCGATTTCCATAGGGCTCAAATCCGAGAAATAACTCATTTTGTCGGCACCCTTCACAGTTTATCCATGGCTATTAGATCCTGTGCTAATGTTATAAAAATAATGTACCTGGCATACCTCTATTTGTTCACTGCTGAACATTCCACCCAAGGGCACCTGTTGTTAAAGTGGCACGACCGTAAACCAAAATGTGGACAACCTGGTTTCTGTTTCCTGCTGAAGCATTTCTACATGTTCTAAGTATGAAGTGTCTGCAATATCCTCCCTATCATTTGGCGGGTAACTCGGAGACCACGCCTCATGAATAATCTTCATTGTATTGAAAGGGGTCCAAAACTAAAACTCAAAACATTGCCACCCCAGCTGAGCTCCAAACAGATCTTCACTGTTATGAAAAGTCACTCATACTCACACAGCTTGACATTACACAACAAAAACGCAATACTATGAAAATGTATTAATTTTATTTTATAACTCATCCCATATCACAGCAGAGAACAAAATCAACAACTTTCTAAAGAAACTTTTATACTGAGGAGGTCTTTGTCTTCTTTTGAGTGAATCTTGCCCTGAATATGCCATAAGCTCGCTTGGAGATGATGACTTGAACTATCAGGAACTGCCCATCTTTGGGATCTGGCTCAACAGACTTCACGGCAGCTTCCTGGTACAACCACCTGGGGGTGAGATGAAATGGGACACATGAAATATCAATTACTCTGGTACTACACTTTCTTGGCCTTCATAATTGGTGGAGGAATGTTTCTCTGACACATTTAATTTAATTTGTAGTAGCTCTTTAAAAAAGATGATGCATGTGTGTTCCACATGTTAAAAGTGTTATAAGTTAAGCTTTTCACTTTACATACAAAAGACAGGAGTTTGTTTCCAATATAATTATGGTAAAGGTGTTGCATCTATTATGATATCTCCATTTTTCCGAAGGGACTTAGTATCCCACTACGACTATCTCCAAAGTAATCTCAACTGTTTCAAAAGCGGCATGAAACATTGATAACAAAATTACAGCAGTGACAGAGAAACCCCCAATGCCAGAAGAAATCAAATCAATAGATATAAATACATTATGTAGCAGAAAGACCAGAAAAAAAAGAAGGCTTAGATTAGAAGTGCAGCCAGCTACTTACCAACAAATGCTGATGAAAACAATGGAAGTACCGCTAATATCTACCAGAGGCACCCACTTACTACCAATTATGGTACTCACTGAAGCATGACTTCGCTGTTGGGTATACGGAACACTTTCTCCATCCTGTCTGTGGCCGCCATCAGTGCCGTCTGCAAACGCATGCCCAGCTCCTGGAAGCCCTGGCCCGTCACCGCGGAGACCGGCAAAATGTTGCTGTCAAGCTCACCAAGCTCTCTGAAATCATAAACATTTTAGAACTGTTTGGCATTTTTCCTGTTTCACTGCAAATATTTTACTACCCTCATCAACAAAATTTCGATAATTTAGGAAGCGGCCATATTTCCTGATAGCCTATAAGAATGACTGCAGTCTCATGACGCAACAAATCTCCACGTACTTGTTTTCAAGAAACATCAATGATCAAGGTCAATTTGAAGGAGCAGCATTAGGCACATGGTACTGTACAAGTAAATGGGAAGGAAGACGGAAAGAAGGAAGGAAGGAAGGAAAGAAGAAAGAGATAATGGACCAAAGTGATTTAACATCAAACATGAAAATCTGAGCATAGATTTCCATGTGGACCTTCGTGAGAGTCTAAATTAACAGGATTCTTGCATTGAAAGGGATAAAGTTTTCACATCATACAATAAGACCTAATGTTTCATCAGAACTTCTTGCTCCAAGGGTATTCATAAAGAATACAATGATGTGCGAGATGAAATAACAGATTCACTTTTCTAACAGTAAAACAGTTGGCTTGTAAATGAATTTCAAAACTAGTTAATCCAAAAATGTATTTCTATCACTGTTCTGAACATGACATGAACAAATTAGGCATAAAAATCACTTACTCTTCCGACAGGAGGTCCACCTTGTTGTAGACTTCTATCATATTGCTCAATTGTTGACTGGTCAACATACGCTGTAATGTCTTATGTACAGAGACCACCTGGAGTTTTTTGTCTGGGTGACTCGCATCTCGTATGTGGAGAACAACATCCTGTGGAGAACAAGTTAGACATAAATCAAAGTAGGTGGTTTTTAACTGATATCCTGTGTTTATCATTCCAGTGTGCCTTTAATTTTGTTTTCTGAGGAACTAAAAAAAACAGTAATTATTTTATAGATATATTTATGCCCACATAGACACAAATTAGATCATTTAGGAGGCGTGATTTGACTCTGCCTGCTAAGACTAGCCTGGGCTGAGATGGATATGTCTCAGCAGACAGGGACATTTGATAAAATTTCTCCCCACACAGGAATCAAACTCATGTCCTTTGCATGTGACGGTGAAGCACCTAATCACTACACTACATAAGCCAGCCCTGAGGAATGGAACACTTACTTAGCATGGAAAATGTACGATCAAAGCAACAGAAAAAACCCCAACAAAATTAACAGAACATCAATGAACTGAGAAGGCACATAAGCTTTTTCTGCCTTACCGCCATCATGGCATCTTCCAGTGTAGCTCTGAACGCGTCCAGAAGCGTGATCGGCATGTCAGAGATGAAACCAACGGTGTCGATGAAAGTCACCCTCATGTGAGAGGCCAGACATCCTTCGTGAGAGGTCACATCCAACGTGGCAAACAGCTGGTTCTGTGGCTTCAATGACAGATCGTCTGTTAGGGCTTTGATCAGGCTGGTTTTTCCTAGAGAGCGGGGCAGACAGAAAACATGTATGTGAACTTCATGAGGGTTTGGATCAGGTTGGTTTCTCTTAGAGAGAGTGGCAAACAAAACATGTTTACTTCATATCAACATATCCAACATGAGTGGCAGCACAGACCAATCAAACCACTAAAATCCAACATCCACACTTGAATAAATAAAAGAGTATACAGTGGAAACCTGTTATAACGAGAAGGAGGGGACCGGTGCGAAATGTCCGTTATAGCAGGATTCTCGTTACAAGGGATCCAGTAATAAATTTAAGGGAAATAGTAAAGTAGGCCTGATCTGTCAGTTTGGTGTTCTGTTTATTCCTTTTGTATTTCCCCTGATGATGATTTGTTCAACATTATCTCTAGGTCTTACTTGATCAAAAATCAAAAATCGAATCAGGTTTCTTTCTCTAGCACTAGCAATGTTGACAAATCGGCCTTGGCGATCAGAAAGAAGGGGTTCTGGCTCTAGGCTAACTCGCACGCTGTGTTGTCCCCCACCCCACATTGCGCACATCACACATTCACTCCATCTATCACAGCATTGTGACCTCTCCATCCCGCACCAGAGAAGTGAGAGGCACGGTATGCCTAGATAATCTAGACGGGGCTGACCTATTACGCGATGCGTTCTGCTTGTCTGCGCATGCCACACCCTCCCCACTCATTCACTCCGGTCTTCATTGTTGGTTCGCGTGGGCTCTCCCATTTTTTGTTTCGCTGGATCACCAACAACTTTCTCAACTGGCAAGGTTTTTAAATATGTTTAATTGGTCTGTGCGCTGTGCACAGCAGCAGCAGCAGTATTCCGTTATAAACGACTCGCGTGACGGTCTGATTGCGCAATAGCAGTATTTTATTTACAAAGATAAAAAAGGAGAAAAACCGGGTTTTAGAATAGAGTCTTTATAACAGACTTCTCGTCGTTTCGGGACTCGTTATAAGTGGACTCCACTGTATAGCTTTTGAATAAATAAATAAAAATGGTGGCTCATACTTTATATTTCCTGAAAATTTTACTATATGGTATGGACACTCTACTCCCACAACTTTACTTCTATGTAAATTTTGCGGAACTGAAAACCCTTTAAAAAAAGTAGAAAATCTTTGGTGTTGAGTCAAAATGTAAGATGAAATGGAAAGCAACTAGCTATAAAAAAACCCAAACCTGCATTTGTGTATCCAACAACAGCGACGGTGGGAACACTGTTTTCCTGTCTTTGTTTCCTCAACTCTTGACGCTTCCCATGTAATTTTTCAAGATCCTTCTTCAATTTGCTTTCTCTTCTCTGGTAAAATAAAAAGGGAAAATTTGGGTGGTTAGTGGGTGCTTGGGTGTGGTCTGCTCCTTCTTTCTTATCAAACATCTATCGTCCTTATCTCTTATTCTTTTTATATTTGTACGTTACTATTTAGTAACACTTCTAATCTTCATCACTCATATGACCTACTAGGGATGCAAGTGCAGTAAAACTATACTAAAAAGGAAAATTTGATACAAGTAAAACATACCCCCTTGTCTATCCTATTGAAGTTTACGCTCATTTATTTTAAAAAACCTGGAAAATGTACAATGCTATCAAATTGCTGTTCTTAATAACTCATGAACAGTACATGTTACTTAAAAATATATTATTAGATTTATTCCAGAGGAGAAACCGATTCCCCATGTCGACCATATGTTCTTAAAAAGACATCAGTTTTAACTCAGATCAGTGCAAAGTGGTCTATAGTCGTATGACAAGCCAAGAATTGAGACCACCACAAACCTGTAGCAACTCACGACGTCGATCAAGAGGCATGGGTGTGCCTCCACCAACAAATTTGCCAAAGCCAGAGCCATCGAGTCCACAGTGAATGAGGTCCAGTCTTGACCTGGAGAAAAATATCATCATCATCATCCAGTGCCAGATCTGCGACAGACATCGGCGATCATGGTTCTCCATTCATTCCTTTGCTCGGATGCTCTAAAAAAAAGGTACGTTTCCCTGATCTTTCCTTGTTAACCATTTGTTTAGGTTCCTCAAGTATGTTGTTCTGGGCCTACCCCTGCCTCGCTTGCCCTCAATTTTACCAGTGAGAGCTAGATGTTCAAGACCCTTATGTCCATTCAGATGTCCCAAATAAATATAGACACCATTAAATTCAGTGTTACAAGGAGCCTGAGTAAATGATAAATGCCACATCTTGACAATATTTTAGTATACTTTTTGAGAATCATAGCATAGTTTCAAAGCGATCAGCTAAAAGTAACTTTTTCAATTCGCGAGTCAGGTCCATAAAGGAAATTCCCTGTATGCGTGAGGGCTCTGAGGGAATGTTCTCTAAACAAAAGCAGTAAGTTGGGCAAGGTTATGCCTCTACCTCATATCACAAACCCACACCCCCAACCCCGTCTCCACAAAATCCCTACTTCGCTAAGCATTTAGTGTGTATCCCCATCTCGCCTGTCAGTATCAATCTGGGCTGACAGGGAAACAATGTACCAGCAGAAAGATAAGGCTTACTCCGTAAAAAATTTTTTCATATACGAGATTCAAACTCTGGTACTCTGTGTGCAAAAGGCGAAACACCTAATCCTTACAGCACAGACACTAGTGGATTGTAGATGGGAGTATGTGTACATTTGTACCTCTATGCTAATAAGCACATAGCTGCACTGACCTAATATATGGGATTTCCGCTAAAGCAACTTGAAGTTTAGCCTCAGAAGATTGTGCATGATCTTTGAAGATTTGCAACACTACAGTGTACCTGAAAATAGAGAGAACAGTGACAGACAATAGCATAATAACTACAGTGGAGTCCACTTATATAACGAGTCCTGAAAAAACGAGAAGTCTGTTATAAAGACACTATTCTGAAACCCTGTTTTTTCCCTTCTTCATCTTTGTATCTTTGCAAATAAAATACTGCTATAGTGCAATCAGATAAACAGGCAAATCGGTTATAGCGGAATATTGCTGCTACTGTGCACAGCGCATAGGCCATTTATACATTTATAAAACCTCGCCAGTTGAGGAACTCGTTGGTGATCAAGCCAAACAAAGAATGGGAAAGCCCATCTGTGCCAGCAATAAAGGCCGGAGCGAATGAGTGAGAAGGGTGTGGCATGCGCAGACAAGCCGTTGTGAAGCAGAACGCATTGCGGAATAGGCCAGCTTAGTCTAGATTATCTAGGCCTACCATGCCTCTCACTTCTCCGATGCGGGGATGGAGAGGTCACAGTGCTGATGGATGGAGCGAATGTGTGACATGCGCAAGCAGACGCGGGAATGCACCACAGGATGTGGTGGGGTGGGGGAAAACACAGTGGGTGAGTTAGCCTAGAGAACTTTCTTTCTGATCGCCAACGCCGAGCTGTCAACATTGCTAACACTAGAGAAAGAAATCTGATTCGATTTTTGATCAAATAAGACCAAGAGGTCATGTTGGGCAAAATCGTCATCAGGGGCGATAACAAAGAAAAATAAACAGAACACCAAATTCATAGATTATACCTATTTTATTATTTCCTTTGAATTTATTACTGGATCCCCTATATCGAGAAGCCTGCTATAACGTACGTTTCGTACCAGTCCCCTCCCTCTCGTTATAACAGGATTCCACTGAATCTATAAGTAACACAAAGTACCTGAAAGTTTATTGCATGAACACTGATATAAAACATAGCTGCTTTGTGACATGGTGTATGGCCATGGGAATAAAAATTTAGCCCCCCCCCCCAACCAACTCAAAATAATAATTTTCAAAAACATGTCCAATATGTTTCCTAACCAAGGATGGTGAACTTCAGCATTGAGCATTAAATCACCAGCTCAACAAACTATTACTCAACATATTCTCTTCATAACAATATCCGGTAAACACTAAATGTAATATAGTCTATGCACTTGATACCTCCCAGTTCTCTTTTTTTATTTGAGAAAACTAAGCCATTGATTTCTTCGATCTGGAGTCAGAAACTAATGTCAAGTTATTATCAGTTGAGTGACACTTTCTTTTGCTGTTGTTCTAGTAAAGTCAACTCAATATTCACTGAGTTTGACAAAACCATCATTCAGAATCATAACCATCATTCAGAATCATTGCCAAGATGCAATTCTCTTTTATCAAAACTCATACAAAAGAAACAAAAATGATTGTGATATGCACCTAAGCAGAAGCAACACAGAAATAATTTTTGTAGACAACTGAGACAATAAAACACGGAATGAACTAATGAACCAAAGAAGTGATAGTGAATATCTGAGAGTTTTTGTCAGAGGAAATGTACAAGATGACACAAAATCACTTTGATTTTCTCTCTTTAGGAACAAAATGACATGAAAGGCCTTGTAAGATTACACAGAGCTTACCTGTCAAATACTGGTATACGCCATGCTCTCTGCAGAGTTTCCAGCTGAGCAGATTTGAGCCGGTCTATCCCAATCACCACAGCACTGATGTTCCCCTTGCCCCTAATCTCTCGCAATAACGTTGCAAAATTTCCTGATCCAAACACTTGATTTGTATTTTCTTGATCTGTTCTCACAAACCTCTGAAAAGTAAAAGGAGCATAAAATGATATACAATAGATATATGCAGGCATGGCATATTCAAAATCAATTTGCAACTACTATCTGTTCTCTTAAGGGGCAGGGGTGCAATGAAAATTAGTGTAAATACTTCACAGAAGAATTTATAAATATGAAACTATCATCAAAAATAAGATGCCAAACATTGAAACTAGTGAAACAGTGTTCTCTTTGTGAGCCATAGGTGCAGCTGTTCAGTCTTGCCTGTTTGTCTAAGAAGTAGGTAATGTTATGCAGAGTTGAGAGTTCTCTTGGCGTGAGGTCATGTTTGTCAAGGTCTCTTTGTAGCTCTATGACATGAGCCCACACAAAAGCGTGCATGATCGTTACCCTTCTGCACATCAAACACATCTCTCTGTGTGTGGTAGTGCACACATATGTGCCACGACATGGTAGAATCAGGCGCTCGTCAATTTTTGGGCATGTGGAGTTAATAATATATATCTGAGAACTGATTTATTTGCCTCGCTTCCAATTTAAAAAATGTCCATCTAGTTTGAATAGAAGTCGAGATATTTGCGATTGAAAAAAGTGGGGTATCCTGGTTTCAGTTGTTAAATTGATGAGAAAATGGTCACCAAAGTTTGGTAACTTCATCAATGAGTCCTTGAAAACTGAAAATTACATATTTTTAGCCTTTAAACAAGGATTTTCAGTAAAATTCACATAGAAATGCCTTTTCATAGGAACATAAAAGGTGTTTAGCTAAAATACAAAATTTCAACTAAAATTGCCAAACTGGTGGGGAAGCGTCTTTTTCTTCGATTTCATTGTTTTGACGAGCACCTGGTTTCACAATGATGCCTCACATAAAGCACTCAAATCACTGCAGCTAAGGAAGACTAGCTTCAAAGGCACAGGGGACCCCAGTGTTTAAGGGTTAACTTACACCAACACTGGAATCCACTTTTAAATTGATATCTGCGGAATCCCCAGATTTTCTTAGGTTAGCTCAGTTTTCGGTTTAGAGAGGCTGCTCAAATTGCAGTAAAAAAAAAAAAAAGATGGTTTTATTCTCTTTTGGTTTTACGCCATTTTCAGATTAACCGCATTCAGTTTAAACGGACTTCAGTGTAGTTTGTTTCTTGTCTCTATTGCCATTCCTCAGGGAGTCTGAATGGCTGAGGACGCCCACTAACTGGGCTCTCCAATGTTAATTTTTACTTCGATTAATTTCAATTCTAGCTTGTTGGATGGTTTGGTTCCAAGTTCATGTAAAATTGCCAGAGAGTCTGTTTGTATCACGATATGATGGGACTCTAATGAGAAAAACTTTAGAGGCTATTATTTTAAGTTATTATTTGTTATACAGTATAAAACATTAAATAAAAAACAACAGTGTATGTTAGATCTATATCTAGAACCCAATCACTGTGCAGTCCCATTAAAGATCTCTCTTAGTGGCCAAGAGCCCATTCAGTAACTAAGCACTTTCAGGTCAGATCTGATTACAAACAGAGTTGAGACACATTAAGAGAAAGCAAGGCCCACGAAAACAAAACTAGACATAAATTTCAAACTGCACTACAGATTTATACATGACTTCGAATCAAAACCATTTTTTTTCCAATAGCTCAAGAGCATTAGAAATTGAGACTATTTCCTTTTAAAAAAATGTTTAACTTTAAAATCATTTAAATGATGGTAAGACATGAACTAGAAAGTTAGCACACCAGTGCCTCAATTGCAGGTCAATAACCTCACGTCAACCTCTGAGTCAGAGATGACACCTCCTGGAACAGGAACCTGAGTGAACAAACCTTTTCCACCACTCTCCAGTTAGGCAATGTTCTGACCAGGGCACACGTTTCTTCTAACTTCAGCTCACGAGATGTCATAACATATCGTTTTGCTCCTGCCTTGATATCTGGGGTCCCAACAGCAAAACGTTAGACCAAATCTTGTGATTAGTTGGTTTTTTTCTTTTAAGAAACTCAGATCATAAAACACATTGAAATATTTTCCAGACCCATGTAAGCAAGATCAACGGATAATTTGAGTCTTTCTCCAGATTTTTTCCAGTGATTTTTTTAATATAGAAAAAAAACAACACCCTACCATGTAGAAACACAAAGTGTGATGTGCATGGTAAATAACTTAGCAAACAATGGTTAAAGAATAAAAGTATTTCTGCATATGATAATGAATTGGGGAAATTCAAAATAAATCCATACTAAAAAACCTCCAGAAACAGTGGTCAACAGTAACGATCTATACAGTTAGGAACCTTAAAAAGGGAAATACATTTTTGGGATAGGTGTGAGGTATGACTCTACAACATTAAAGTATGTAAAGAACAGCTGGATATGTGTTGGAGAAGTTACAAGCAAACACTTATCAGGTAGGCCTATATTGCAGGAATGCAGAAAAAAAGGGGGGACTAAAAAAGAAAAGAAGTAGAGTAGAACTCATATTCAACAGTCGTAGGGTCTGACCTTCAATTTAGTTGAGTCTGAGTTCCACTGTACAGTGTAATGGTGACTGAAGGTCATTGACTTTAATTGCTTTGAGAAACTTTATCACTTACAAATAGATCTAGTTAGAGAAAAAGTTTTGTACCATTACATAAATACCCAATGTCAGAAATGTACAAATTGAAATTGAAATGACAAGTCATACACTCTGGCTAACATAGTTGTAAGGCAGATAGGATCGGCTCTTTTATATTTGTTCATCAACACTGAAAAGAAGAAGACATAGAAAAAGAGACATAACAGGCAAATGTAACGTTGTGAAAATTCAATGCTGCCAGCTGTTTGCCTACCTGGCTGAATGACCATCACTCTGTGACCAATACCAGGTATGGCACATATCTCACGAACATATCTCCCAAAGTTTTCTTCTTCTCCACGTCCATCTGACTCAGCATCTCCAACACCTGGAACAATAGCATAGCTGACATCAGATGACAGTCACAATATCAATAGCCTTCATTTAAAGCACAGAAAATAATGAAATTCGTCATTTTGAGAGAGAAAAAAACATACATTGTCATATCAAATAGGGGGGGGGAGGAGGATATTACAGTACAACACATAGGTCGAACACAGAAGACTCGATATCATGCATCCGTCGAACTGTGGCTGCGGTCCCTTTTTTCTTCTTCTTTATCTTTGTAAAAAAATTACTGAAGCTCGTACACAAATACGGAATAGTCGAACTAATTACGCTGCTGTATAGACCTAAAGTCAATGTCCTTTGGGGTGCACTTGAGACAAATGATAATCATTTTAAAAATGGAAAAAAGCAAGATCGGTAAAATATCACCTTCCCTCCTCTACAAAAGCAGCTAGCTGTGCTATTTTTAGTGCGCTGCTCAACATGTGTGCCCAATGATTATCTGGCTAGGCTTGTGTGGATCGGGCCAGAGGAAGGGCTGTGCATCATACGACCTATTGTTTTGCCCCTAAAGTAGCAATCTTTGTTGCTTCCCTTGGTTCTCTGACACAGCCAATACCATAAGTTCATCTATATCCCTCGAACTACAGATCCCTGTGTTATACAGTATTATATTATAACTCTACCATAATCTACAATCTGTTGAAGAAGAAATCTCTTGGCGGTGGTAGAGGCTAAGTAATCAAACCCTCCTCAAACCTTCATCATGTACTACATGATCAAGAAACTAATCCTCCAACAATCAGAGAAAAACGAAAAGAATAAGGCTCTCTTGGTCATCCATTGATTTGATGATGACTGTCCTCATGTGTCAAGTCCTGTTTAGTGTGGGTGTGGAGATGGCTGCTCAGGCCATCCTTGATCAGCAGATATGGGTGCAATGAGGGAGAGGAAATTGTTTGGGCTGGTCAGGGTACAGAATTCCTATACCGTGGCCAGTGTAAGTGAAGAGTTCCAGACATTCATAGGTGGTGACCACTAAAATAATTTGCCTAGGATTGGAATACGACAGAAAGTGCTTGCATGCTGCCTTTCTCTGCAAAGGGCCAAAGGAAGTAATTAATTCGAAAAGTATACGTGTTTGCACTTGAATTTGAATTTATACTTGACAACAATAAATCAAAGCATACAAGCTGGAGCCTTTATAATTTCAAAGGTTCAGTTCACAGCATACACAGAACAAGACATGTGAAGTAAGATTTTAGTTACGGTACCTGACTTTTGCAGTGGAATCCTGTTATAACAAGAGGGAGGGGACTGGAGCGAAATATCCGTTATAATGCTCAGTATTCACGTTATAAGGGATCCAGTAATAAATTCAAGGGAAATAATAAAATAGGTCTCATCAATGAGTATGAGTTTGGTACAGTGAAATCCACTTATAACGAGTCCTGAAATAACGAGAAGTCTGTTATGAAGGCACTATTCTAAAACCCCGTTTTTTTCTCTTCTTTATCTTTGTAAATAAAATACTGCTATTGCACAATCAGACAAACATGTGAGTCGGTTATAGCGGAATATTCAATATAGCTGCTGCTGTGCACAGCACATAGGCCAGACATTCATGCAAAACCTTGCCATTTGAGAAACTTGCTGGTGATCTTGTGAAAGAAAGAATGAGAGAGCCCACGTGTGCCAACAATGAAGGCCGGAGAGAATGAGTGGGAAGGGAGGATGTGGTATGCACAGACAAGCAAAACGCATCGCGAGATAAGCCAGCCTAGTCTAGATTATCTAGACCTACTACACCTCTCACTTCTCCGATGCGGGAATGGAGAGGTCACAACGATGTGATTGCAATGGGATGGATGGAGCGAATGTGTGACGTGCGCAAGCAGACGGAACGCGGTGGAGTGGGTGACAACACAGCGGGCGAGTTAGCCAAGAGAACTTTCTTTCTGATTGCCAACGCCGAGCTGTCAACATCGCTAGCGCTAGAGAAAGAAACCTTATTCGATTTTTGATCAAGTAAGACCTAGAGATCATGTTGAACCACATTACCATCAGGGGAGATTACAAAAAGAAACAAACAGAAAACCAGACTCATAGATTCGGCCTACTGTACTATTTCCCTTGAATTTATTACAGGATCCCTTTTATAACGAGAATCCTGCTATAACGGATGTTTTGCACCTGTCCCCTCCCTCTCGATCTAGATCTATATGGGCCGAACACAATTTTTGCAAAATTCTAAACCAATCATCTTACCATTTGAAGAAGAAATCAGCCTTTGTTGGCAAACTTTTATTGGTGAATGATACTGTGTAGTCCTTGACTTGCAAGAAACACTCCTCACAACATTCCATTTAAAGATTCCATTTCTCAGGAAGGCAGGATCTGTACGCCTCAGTGTTGCATTATTGACACAAATAAATCTATGGCAATGCCTGGTGTGTTTTGCAGCACATATTATGCCCTCAATCAATTTTCTTCTTATGGTGTTCATCATCATATTGTTAAATTTTAAGAACCTACTTCAAGTCCGTCCAAATAACTCCAATCATGTCATGTCCAATGGCATCTGAACATACAAAAACAGAGCAGTAGGCTATTTTTAAAATTGTGATCCAAGATATAGATCTATATCTAGATCTAGATTTATTACAAGTTTCACAAAATAATAAGCCAACCATTCACGACTAGAATCTAGATCTAGATCTAGATCTAGATCTAGAATCTAGATCTAGATTTCTAGATCTAGATTTCTAGAATATGATTCCTTCGTCAAAACTTTCAAGTCGGCAAACGTGTTTACATTACATAGCATAGCAGTAGCTGACAAGATTTTAGATCTTGATTCTAGATCTAGTGCAATTAATTAATTGTGTGCGAGTACATTGTCCGCTACCCGTGCTACACTCACTACACTACACTGTAGTAGATCTAGTAGTGTAACTGTTCTGTAACACTACTCTGGTGACTGCACACTACTGCTCGAACTGACTGAAGTCTGAAGACTAAAGGGAGGAGTCAGATTTTCAGTCTTAGATACGCTTCAAAGGGTATCTTGATTCACAAAAAAACACAACATTTGTTGTAAAATTTTAAATCTCGTGAGCCATGTAAAAACACAGTTTAAAAATTCAACTCCAAACGAAGGTTCACTCTGCAGAGAGACAATAAATTGGCTACTTCCACTTTCGATTTTCCCAAACCGGAAGTCTGTGAGCTGTTATTGCCAGTAGCCTGGAGAATCTCCGTGCATAGAATACGTAAGCCATTCTATCATTAGAGATTATCCTATAGCTTCAGTATCTTAAACTATTCTCTAGCACACTTGTATGCCACACAAATATTTAGAAATGTCAAAATTCAAAATAAGAGAAAAAGTTTCAGAAAATTAAAGTACTGAATGATGATTGTAAACATACATGGCTATTCTGATTCAAGCGAATTACAAATACGTGCAAATAAGAATTATAAACCAAGCAGCCGGCTGCTCGAAAGAAGGGACATCACTCTTGATAGTCCAAGATGGCTGCGCCCTGAGAGACGTGAAAGTCAAACAAATAGCTGAAGCCGGGAGGTTGAGAATGTTCGTGCATTTTAAACTAGTGTACTTCTTTTCCTGTAATGAAGTAAACATTTTATTATTTCAAGTTAAAAAGTCAAAATTATTTTTCCTCTAGGATGGATCTGTCCTTATTACCTGTTTTGTTGAGATTGTCACTGAGGGTTGGGATGACTTCCACACTCACTCTCACCTTTTCGACCCAGCTTCTCAGAGCGACTGCCCTCAGTGTCCCTTCCACTCGAACTTCTGGACTGCCCTGTTCGAAGTATTGAGATTCGTTAGTTTTTTGCTGGGTCTGGACAACACGTCATTACATTTATCCTAGATCTATATCTATATCTATTATATAGGAAAATTATAAAGTGTCAACCCAAACCAATTTATTGTTGAATAAGAAAAGACTGAAATGTCCTGATGTATTTTGATTGGCTAGCTCTATTCGGACTCGAGTCCGAATATAATTTTTATCTATTCGGACTCGAGTCCAAATATGGGTTTTATCTATTTGGACTCGGGTCCGAAAAAAAAAAGGTTTTATTCTTTCGGACTTGGCTTTTAAGTAAGTTATGTGAGGGTGAGGTTACATTATATAAATGTCGTCGGCGAATTTTATGTAAAACTAGAATTAGAACTAGAATTGCCCACTAGGACTGTGTAATTGTGTTCAAAGTCAACGGACTGCACTCTCATTAGATTTACCCAATGGCAGTGTCTAAGTACACGGTAACTGGCAACACAGGGTCCTTCCACCACCACTATAGCATCATCATTACTTCCACCACCATTTGTCTTTCCACAATTTCATTTTGTTGTGTGTTATAGTTTTTCTGTAACTATTTTCTTTTATCACATCGCACAAAACCGACAGCCCAACACCTCTTCCCCCTCCAAGCCGAGAGTGTGAGATCGCTACGTGCAATCTCATTGGTCGACATAATTAACTTTGTCCCCCCAGCATGGTCAGCTCAACTTAGTCATTCTGTTCATACTAATCATGTAGGGAGGGCCAGTCTAGATAGATCTAGATCTAGTAACTGGATACTAAAGCTCACGGTCTCGACTGCTATCATTATAATCGAAAAAAAGTTCGTACATGCTGGAAATATTTAGGAACAAAGGTCGGAAGTCAGAACGGACGTCATGCTGGACTCAATTCAGGAAATCCTATTTGTAATCTCATTAGCAAAGGTGAAAAGATCAAACTAGTCCAACAGTTTAAATATGTAGGATGTGTCACGACGTGGTGAAATCAGGCGCTTGTTAATTTTGGGGCATATATATAGAGTTATTGGTACCTTCTGATTTAAAGCTTGTCCATTTACCTTGCTTTTGATGAAAAAAATATCCATTTATCTTTGATACTAGTCAAGATATTGGTGATTGAAGGAGGTTAGGGTCGCCTGGTTTCAGAGGTGAAATGAGTGAGAAAATGACCCCCAAAGTTTAGTTATTTCCTAAGCTTGAGAGTCTGTAGAAATCTAATATGTACATCTTTTATGCCTTTAATCAACGTTTTTCAGTAAAAATCCACTCAGAGATGTGTTCTTTAATAGGCATGAAAAGTGCTGAGCCAAAAAAACAAAAATTAGTTAAAAGTTCCTCAATATGCAAAAAAAAATGCCAGTTTCTTCACTTTCATTATTTTGAAGAGTGCCTGATTTAACCACGCTACCTAACGTATAATAACATCTGATGTCATTTGTTCCACAGAAATAAAATGGACAATTGCAATGGCTAAGGCTAGTTTCAATAAAATGAACCCAATCCTTAAAAATAGAAACATCTCAATGACTACCAAACTGACAGTTCTGAAAAGCTGTGTGTGGTCAACCCTTTTATATGGTTGTGAATGCTGGACAATCACTAAAGGCAGTGAAAATAAAATAGAAGCAACAGAAATGTGGTTTCTTAGGAGGCTGCTGAGAATATCGTGGAAGGAAAAGAAATCAAATGAGGTAATGCTTGATGAAGCCCACGCTTGACGCTCACTGTTAAAAACAATCAGGAAACGACAAAGGCAGTCTTTGACACACCTGAATAGACAAAGGTCTTGAACATCTAGCTCTCACTGGCAAAATTGAAGGCGAACGAAGCAGGGGTAGGCCCAGAGCAACCTACTTAGGGAACCTAAACTAATGGGTTATGGGGAAAGATCAGGGAAATGTAGCTTTTTTTAAAAGCATCCAAGCATGTGAATGAATGGAGAACCATGATCGCCGATGTCTGTTTCAGATCTGGCACTGGATGATGATGATGCATAGAGTCTAAGTGATTTCAGACATGACCTCCTTACAGTGTCCAATATGAAGACGCCAATATAGGATAGGAGATCCTCTGAATCAGCAACTGGATTATGACACTGACACTGACAAGAGAAATTTCTGATGTATTGAGAATGGAACTGAGAGTAGGCTATTGCTTAAAACTCGAAGAGAAAGTTTAAAAAAAATAGTTATCTTGTTATTAAATCTTAGACTTTAGTTGTTGCTGTTCTTTAGTTACAAACATAACATGTTTTCCCCCTTATCCTTATCTCTCCGACTGTTTCTCTTGTACCAGAACATCTTACATGACGCTTACTGGGCAAGACCGCAGAGGCCACCACCAGGCTTTTGATCACTTCTGTCGTTGACGTGAACAGACCCCCTCACTATGTGGTCACAGACTTTGCCACACTGTAGCTTAGCATGGAGATGTGGCCGTCTATTATCAAAGAGAATCAAATTGAAGCAGCAAACTTATTGTCGAGGATTTCATTCCTCGCCGACAATGTTTTTGTTCTGGAGGAATGGCAAAAATGTTGGCTTAGGAGCGTTTCCCACCACTATGGAAAGTCGAGCGAGGCTCCATGATGGAAGAAGTCTGTTGGACAGGTACGTCTTTGTGAAGACACTAGAAAACTACTATGATGACGTGCCCAGCGGCATAATTCTGGACACTGCTTACGCTGACTCTCAGCCTAATGAAGATTTCGATCCTATCACCCCTGTTGTTGTTGGTCTTCACGATACACCTGGAAGCCACAAAGACCTCGCACCGATTCTGAACACTTTTGCAAAGCTGGGGTGCCGAACTATAGCTCCAACTTTTCCAGGTTTGTTTTGAATAGGCATGACAATGAAGAGAACTTTGTATGGTCCGTATGTTTCTTTGACGTACCACCCTCCCCCAAGTTTTCCCTCTATCACTCAGATGTTTTGTGTAGGTTTTCGAACTTTGCTTGCTAATATTTAAGATAAAAATAACAATATCAGATCTCTATGAATAGCTGTTATGATGGAAATGCTTGACTAAAACTTGTGGCTCTAAATTTCCTAGAAACTATTTTGATCATACATTTGTATTTTGTTGTACTGCTGTCAGTTATTAATGAGGGTATTAGTCTGTACCATATTACTTGTCAGTTTATCTTTATGTGTCAACTTTGTTAAAAATATATATCGTTGTGTCAAGCTGCAGTATAGCATGGTAAAGCTGCTAGAAAATAACAGTGTGATTTTATCTTTTACTTACTTACTTACTTGGTTGGAGAATAAACATCATTGCAGGCGGTACAATGACATAGCTGCTCCTCCCTCCTCTCCAGGATCCATGAAAGGGTCTGCCTGCTGATTGCACCAGTTAACAACTGGTTGGATATTATAAAAATTATATTTTATCTTTTAAAAAATGTCAATTATTTCTGTCAGTGAGGTTAATCGACTTTTATATTATCTGTCACTTTTTGGCTGTAACTATATATATATCTTGAATAATCTGTGATCACTTGGAATCACAAGGCTGTAGATCTTGTGGTATATTTGTAATTGCAGTTGAACATATTAGATATATTGTTATTGGTGGTGGGTGGGGTACCAGACTTTATATATCACACACTTTACCTATTGACAGTGTTATAAATGTCCTTTGTAATTACTAGTGCCTTGAAAATTTTTCAACAAGCTGGAAAACTCTTCCACTTTAAATGATGACGGAAAACTCAAAAGCTAGCTCAGAGTACTTTTGAAATGCTCGTATTATTTACGGTAGGCCTACATGCTGACGCCTCTTTTATCAAGGACATGTAGAAATTTCTTGGCCATAGAACAAAAATTTAAAAATATCAGTTACTGCTGTTGGTGATCGATGGGCGATCCCTTAACATCTTACTTGAACATTTACTCTTAGCTTATCTTGAACATATCAGTTATTATTGTCTGTGCCCACCAGGTTAAGAATTCCTCTTTTTGATCCAGCTTTTTAAAATCATTATTTACCATTCCCAGGTCATGGCGACACCCAGGGCTTGCTGCAGGGTTATGACGATGTCTTCTCGCACTCCTCCACTGAGAGAGCAATTTTTGTCCATGATTTTCTCATCGATTTAGGCATTCAAAGGTTTGTATTATGGCTAGTACCACTGGTTTTTCAAATGGGAGAAGACATTCAGTGCTGTAGCTTTCCCTGATGAGGTCTGTTTACAGCATGATGTTGGTAGCATCTCCAGAATGGTTGATATATCCAATATTTATTCTCAGACTCCAAGGGTCAGCGTGGTCTTGCTGCAAACAATGTCTTTGCTTTTCTTCTCTTTACTTTTGATTTTCAGATCTCTACCATTGAATATTGAATACTCACAAGCACAGTCGAATCTGTTCAAAACGGACCACCCACTGTCAGCCGAAAAATGGTCATCGTAGACAGATGGTCCTGTTGGACTGTCATTATAATAGCAAAAAAAGCAAGGGAGAAAGTGGGAAATGGCCGTTTGCACAGATGATTGTCTTGGACAGGTGGTAAATAAAACAGGTTCGACCATAGGTCTGTATAGAGTTATTTTTTCCCCCTCTCAATCTTTTCTGTTATCAGAGGGTATTTTTAAAAGTAGTCTTCATTGGATTTTTCTGTCTCCTCCGCCACAAATAAAAAGTAACAACTTTTGAATTCAAAAGTGTTTCGAATACGGATTACAGTTAGGAGAACGTTTTTCATTGTTTATGAAACATGTGCTTTGTATAAATTTAAAATACATACTGTAAAAATCTTTTTTGCTATGATATTGATACAAAATATATAGGCCTATATATTTTCTTAATGTGTTTAATTGCTATGATTTTTTGCAGTAATTCTTTTTTCAGAAAAAAATAAGTTTAAGACATTTGTCTCATTCCACAGAGTGGACTTGTTGATTGGTGTAGGAGCATCATGTTACACCATCATGCGGATGTGTGCAGGATTCGATTCCACAGAATATTACCGATCAATCGCCCTCATCTCACCGTGGCCCCTGACCAGACCAAGGTTATTTGTGTGTCACTTTTATTTGTGTGTCACTTTTATTTGTGTTTGCTACCTTGACATGCTCACTTTTTTGTCTATTTAGAGTTTGACTGCGGGTACTTGGCGGGTGCTCTGGTGTTGTTTGCTCCTTCTTTCATTTCAAACATCTATTGTGGCGCTCATATGACCTTATGCAGTTGCGAGCGCCTTAAAACCTCTACTAAAACTAAAACATCTATTGTTCTTCATCTTTCCTCCTTCTTTTTTGTGTTTGTTATTCTCTTTTAACACGTCTAATCTTCAGCATTTACATGACCTAACTATGTTGCAAGTGCCGTAAAATGCCTACTGAAACAAAAACTGGAGTCTGACTAGATGGCAGGAACAATTGGAAGAATTTTAGGATAAGGGTTTTCAATTGAAAGACTAAATTGCCTTCAATTTCCATTATATAACAGGGATGCCAAATTTCAGTTTTTTCCGGCTTTTTCCGTTTTTTTCATCCACTTGCAAAGGAAAGGGGAATGGTAAGAGAAATGTTTTTGTTTGCTCATTTAAAGATTTTACAAGGTTTGTTTTAGGTGAGGTGTGATGCTCCGCTCATTTTCAGGGTTTTTTTCAAAAATCATTTGGCATCCCTGATATAAGTATTCAATATGGGTTTTATGTGTGAATGAAAAATCGCTTTTTTAAAACATTTAATTTTGAAATATTATATTTTATTCGTTTGTCTTGCTGGCAGGTTTGAAAAAGATCTTGAAGCATCAAAGAAACTCCAGTTACTGTGGGACCGTCCGTTCTTCCGCCTTCCCATGAGAATGTTTCTGTCCGGTTATCGTGTAGGCGAAGCCAGCACGCCACGGGATAAAGTTACCACAGCCTATCTTCTGAATAACCTGGACCTAGGAGAGGTGGGGAACTTTGCGTTGTTTTCTTACTTATACAGACAAACTTGTCCAAGATGACCACCCACTGTCGAGAAGAAAAATGGCCATCTTAGACAGGTGATCTTCTAGGATAGTGGCATTATAAATAATATAGGGAAAAGCAAGGGGGGGGGGGGGCATGGGAATTGGTCATTTATACTGTAATTTTCTTGGAATGACAAGCCTCAGTATTCAACGAGCTGTGTCAATAGGGTTTGGGTTTTCCTTATTGTGATTATTTCATATGGTTTTTCCTTGTTGTGACAATTGCGATTTTGGTTTTCTTCTTAGTGACAATTGCATTTGGGTATTCCTCTAAGTAATGATTGCCTTCGGGATTTTCCATATACTGTCCCCGTCGTTTTATGCAAGAACTATTCTGAAATTATGCAAAATGAGCCCGAAAATGTGAAATTATGCGATTATGTTAATTTTAACAAAGAACGATAAAGGAAAATAATCAGAAATTAAGCAAAAAATGATAAAATTTTGCTAAATTATGCGAGGTACATAAAACCACGGGGACAGCTTATAGTGATGCTTGCATTTGGGTTTCCTTTCAGTGATGAATGCATTTAGGGTTTTTCTCTTACTTAAATTGCATTTCCATTTTTCTTTGCCTTGTCAGGCAGCAGGGTCTGCTCTGGCTACCAGTGCCACAAACGTTCCGCGTACAGTGATCTATGGCGGGATGGACCCAGAGGTGAGCGAGGATTTGTACAATGACCTTCTGGACAAGCTTGAGATTCCACAGCGCAATGTCGCTGCCTTCAGGGGGAAGTTGGGTAAGTGAAACTTCGTCCAGTTCTGGGAGAATAAGTGTAAATGTTTTACACTTCCATCAACTCAATTTAGATCTCTCACAGGGATGTCATTTTTGGGGAGGGGTTATTTCTGTTATTTTCACTAAGAGAGTGTTAGAAGAACAGTTATTATTCCAGTATTTTTTTCTCTTCTCAACCCTATTTCAGCTGTGTCTTTTGACTGACATTTTTTTTGCAAATGCAACTTTGTAAATTTATTATAATTTATAGTTAATTTTCACAATATCTCGGTGGTATCCCTGTACTTAGGAGGCAGGCTGCAGGGCGAAACCCGCCTCCTAAATGATCAAAATTGTGTTGATGGGGGCATTTCAAAACACCTTCATTTAGCCCTATCCCTGGGGTCATTTTGTACCGCCGGGGTTGTATTCTTCACATTTTAGAATACTTTTAGTACCAAGATCTCTTTGAAACTTTCAGTGTTGACTCGTTTTGACTGACTGTTATGCAAAGCGTACGGACCAGATTAAGGAGTAAATTTCTTCTTTGGAAAGTGGTGGCACAGAGTTCCCCACGTCGTATGGATACGATAGTAAAACACGACGTACGGACAGGGTTAAGCAATACAAAATTTTGCGACGTTTTTGTGCCTGTGTTCTATCTCAAGGAAAGTAACAACTTAACTTCTGACATCTGTGCTGAAATGGTTAAGTTCTTTGGCTAGCTCACAAAACACATGTGTTCAGTTCTTGCAAGGGGAAGATATTTTGCCTCCGCTGTTGTGTCCCACACAATCTTGGTTAGCTCTCACAGGGTGGGTTGAAGCAGCCAGCCTCCAAAATAGGATAAACTGTTTTTATGGTGGCTAAAACATTAATGATCATTTGAGTAGTCACGCTTCAACATCTCATCTTAAATTTTTATTGTGGCTAACTTTTTCTGCCTCTTTCCTTCTGTTGTCTCCCTCAGATGCTCCACTTCTTCCAGGAGCACTGAAGTTTCCGGACGGAGGCTATGACCTTCACCTTCAGCACCCTGGGATCATCAGTGTGTACCTGCTGAATCTGATCAAGTTGTTTCATCCGCACATACGGATATAGAAATCTAGGCTAACAGATAAATGCTGAAGTACATTGTATATATATACATGTGTGTGTATATATATATATATATATATATATATATATATATATTATGATGGGCGAGGTAAACATCAGAGTTATGACTGGATTCGAATAGTATCTATGATGAAAGTCATTAACAGTTTTTGTCAGCAACTTCAAGTTTTACTAGGATGACTGAAAACATACTCTAGGGGGATAGAGTGTGTTTTATTCTAACAGCTGTTGTTGCATTTGTCGAAAGTTTTTGGCCTTAAGTTTGTATGCAAACATACACGACAATATGAACCAGAAATTCTCCGAGTTCCACGATCTTCCATTTTACTAACCATAATGATATGAGTAAACTAGATGTCTAGGATTTGAATTTGAATAGATATTAATGGTGTGAGGTCTAAGCTGATAGAGGTATAATTGGCTGGAGGGTCCTACTAAAACACACGTGAGGCATTGTGGTGAAATCAGGCGCTCGTCAAAATAATGAAATTGAAAGTACAGATATTTTTTAGCCTCTTGGGCAACTATTGATTTTTTTTTAAAAAGGGGGGATCAATACCTTTATGTCCATTTGAAAACACAATCCTGCATGGATTTTACTGAAAAAAATTGATCTGAGACTCAAAAAGTGTAGAGTTGCAGTTTCCAAGGACTCTCAAGCTTTGGAAGTCACCAATCTTTGCTGACCATTTTCTCGCTAATTTTACCTGATACCAGCAACCCCCACCACTTTCAATCGTAAATATCTTCACTTCTCCTTACATACCCCAAAACTGACAAGCGCCTGATGACACCATGTTGTGACACATATTGTTGATGTTTTTTTTCTTTTAGTCAAAATTTTTTAGTGTCGTTTGTCTAATGTCTTGATTGTGACCAGCTGTGTGTGTGGCACGCTCATCGTGTGTGTGTGTGTGTATGTGTGTGTGTATGTGTGTGTGCGTGAGTGTATGTGGTGATTTGTAGGTATTCTGCTTTGGGCTGCTTTCAGCATTGCCATTATTGCAATCAAATCTTGGTGAGACGTGGTTATTCTTGTGATGATTCATTGTAATCCATCACATCACAAAAACTTCAATGTATTTGATCTGACCAGGTGCGTTGAGCGGAAGGTACTTTTAGTTGGAGAGAATGTTGAACATTTAGCTTCTGGGGTTGTTGTTATGGCTGTGGGAGCTGGCAGGTATTTCTTCATCTGCCCTCGTGCTGTGTGATATGTTTGTACGTATACATGTGGTGTGACTTTGTAGGAATCAACAGTTAACTCCGAAAATGCTGTTTTTATTAATTTTTTTCCCTCTGAATTCTGAGTGACACATTCTGTAAATAACTTTCAGCCGGAGTAAACTCTAAATAGTCGCTACAACGTTGGATTCTCAACACCTAAAATGTGTATAACAGCCTTGCTTTTTAGTTTTTTCACTCTCCTTTACAAATTATGAAAATCGAGTTAACTGTTTAGAATGAATCCTGCAGTGACAATAGCAAAGTTTGTTGTGGAAATGTTTTTAAGAATGAATGTTGCGATGGGTAAAATTAAATTTTGTTCATATTGTATTATAGCATTTTGGTCGCAATAAATAAATATACCCGTGTGTTTTTTAACTCCTGACCACATGGTGTTTTTTTTTTTCCCTAATGCTTTTATGATATATTCCAATTTGTTTGGGTACTGTTATTTCATTTCAGTTAAGACAACCAATCAATATTTTACACAACATGTCGGTACGGGTCATATCTGTCTCCATGTTGTGGGTGGTTGGTGGGTGCTGTGGTGTGGTTTGCTTCTTCTGTCCTATCAAACATCTATATCTCCTCTCCTTTTTTGTGTATGTTACTCTCTTCTAACACCTCTAATCTTCGGCACTTATATGACCTTATTGTGTTGCAAGTGCCGTAAAACTTACTAAAACAATGTCTCCATTTTGACAGTGAGCAACAGAATTTTCAGATTTGCCTCTAGCTTATATATAATTAATGTCACTTAAGAGACTAGACCCCGACTTGTGTCTATTTGTGACAGAGACATGTGCATGGTGAGCCTAAGAAACTCCCCAGACAACCCTTGTTCGACAATGCCCACATGAGGATTTGAACTGAGGTCATCCACAATGTAGTCCAGCATGGTACCAACTGAGCTAACTGTGTGCCCTGGCATATATGTTTATATCACTTTTAGAAACGGCTGACACAAACAAAAGTGGAATTCAACCATCTCTGTTGAGGTGCGCTACTGCAAATTTGGAACTGTTATCCAAGACGAATGCTTATCTTGCATGTGATTGGAGGGCGCCACTTGTAGGTCTCATTTCTTTTCTTTCTCTAGAATCTGTCCGTGTTGCTTTTTTTCTCTGCACTCATTGTCATTTATCATGTCGATGTGCATCTCTACTTTCACAGACTCCAAAAATGCCCATCTCAAAAGCAAGCTACCTGTGAACTTGTATTTCTGTGTAACCTATTTGTCATATCAATCTAACCACGTGTGTCCTTGTCTTTCACAGCCCTAGACTACTACTATCAAACACAAAGCGAAATATCTTGACAAATTCAGAAGTCAAACAGCAGTCTATAAAATAGAGTATTTTAATTACTTTCCCACATGTGAAAATCGGACATGGGATCAGGGAGCCACGACAGTTGGTCCATAAGGTGATAGGGATTTGCTCTGCCTCATAAATCATCTACAAAACAATAAATGAGTCTTTCACACAAAAAGATTAAATAAATGAACATCCCCGCTTATGTATAAAAGCATAACTCTCTACACACAAAAGCAATAAATAAAGAACAGAAAAAAATCCTTCTGGGATTCATCCTCACCACCTGCATCATCTTCACGAAAAGGAAAAATGTCATCAAATCACAAGAGTATATATGTGTCATGACGTGATGGCATCAGGCGCTCGTCAATTTTTTGGCACGTGGAGCTATTGGTATCATTTTAAAGTTTGTTCATTTCTCCGTCTTTTAATGAAAAATATAACCATCTATCCTGAAAAGAAGTCGAGATATTTGAGATTTGAGATTGAACGAGGCAGGGTCGCCTGGCTTCAGAGGTGTAATTAGTGAAAATTGGTGATTTCCAAAGATTGAGAGTCCTTGGAAACCAAAAATTAACATTTTATGAGTCTTTAATGAACATGTTTCAGTAAAATCAATACAAAAATGAGTTTTTAAATGGACATAAACGTGTTGAGCCAAAACCAAAAATTCAATCTTCTATTTCATTCTTTTCACGAGCACCCGATTTCACCACGCCGCCTTACATATGAGTAAAAGCTCACACTCTGGACAAAAGCCAATCACAATACAAGTAATAGTCATGGTCATCTCAAGTCATGACCGGTTGTGGTCACTCTGAATACTGAAAAGTTCAACAGCCCTTTCAAGAAACCCATATAAGCAGCAAAATATAATTTTGTAGACAATTTAGAAAAAAAAATGTTTACCCACTGTATGTCAATTCCTCAAAAGAAATGCACACAGATTTCAACCTACAGTATCTTTATTTTCAATTCCAAGATTTTAAAATGGATTGAAGGAAAAGACAAATATCAAAGAGATATACTTGTATGGTATAACTGAAAATTTTGATTTTTGTTTACTCCAAATATGAAAATGCAGAACCAACACACATTAGATCTAACCTCCATTCATCAAGGAAGTCACAACAGAGGTGGAGATAGCATTATAGTCTATGTCAAAAGTTCCCCTCTGTTGATCACTGGCAATGGCTGGCAAAAGAGGGAGAGGATGAGACAAAGAGACTTGATAAAGAACAACCAAGACCCGAGGGGAAGACATAAAATAAAGATAGACCTGGAATCTTGAGAGCTCAATAAAAGAAAGTAGCTGATGGAGATCTCTTGTGGTGGCCTTGTGTACATCATTGTGCCAAGAGGATAAAGAACTTTTTGAATAAGTAAGATAAAGGATATATATTCAAACCTGCCCTGTCTAATGGTCCCTTGTCCAAGACAACCATTCTCATATTCTCTTGTCCAAGACAATCATCTGGACAAATGACCCCCCCCCCCCTCCTTTGTGTTTTTTCTACATTTAAATGACACTATCCATGACATCCACCTGTCTGAGGCAATCACTTTCCTCCTTGACGATGGGTGGCCGTCTTGGACAATTTCGACTGTACATTGGGTTTCTTGAATTAAGCTGTCAAAATGTGACATCAAAGGAAGACAGAGCCCTGCTTGATCATTTGAACAAACAGACAGACAGACAGACCATGAGATCTCAACCACAACATCAGCAGCAGTATCCAAATTGTAATAGGAATTGACAAAACTAAAAACCATCAGCATTATGAGTACGGAAAAACAATTTGTGGTCCAACTTTGACAAAACATCATCATTTGTATGACACGTATGACCCTGCACAATTGTTCAATTACTTCAAATCACGTATGGGATGAACATTATCATGAATCATAATCAAGGTTCAGAAAACAATCCGCACTATTATCAGGAAAGCATCCACAAGATATAAACAGAATGTTTTTCTGACAATAATGTCAAAACTATGAGAGGGGCTCTTGGAAAATCTGGCAGAAAGTGCAAAATGTTATTTTGAGATATCAAAAATGAACCTCAAATTTCATTTCTATCAAAACGTTTTATAATGATTCATGGAAAGATAAATCATTTCAACATCATTTAGAGTATTTTGCTAACATATTCCTTTGAACATTTTAAAAATCAACTATTTTGATGACACATGACAGAAAATTTGCGACTGTTTACTCTTGCGGATAGACATTTTCAAGCAAACCCCCTATCCAATACTGTACATGTACCAAATGAAATAGAATTTTCTTGCCTTTTTGGAGCAACCCAGTGTCTATGGATATTGTACCAGCAGAAAAATACCAAGAGACCTATGGGACTTTTGTTTCGCTCTTTGAGCTGCGGCATCATGGGACATTTTCAAAGCCATTTTTTCTAAACTTATCCTTAGGACTCTCATGCCCTTAGAAAAAGCTAAAACTTTTACAAAAAGAACCACTCGCAACCAAATAAAAAGTGGAATGCTAAAAAAAGAAGAAGTTTTTTAAACATGAAAAAGTATCAGTAAAGAAAACTTTCACCTTATGACAGGCTTCCTCCGAGCTCCTCACATTTTGCTATTCAAGCAAAAAGAAAGTACATGAAGTCAATCTAAAATGAATCAAAGAATTCAACATCAATCTAATCTTAAAAACTGAAATCAGTTCATAAAAAAACAAAACAACCAAGTATAACAACAGTCAACAGGCACAAACTCCCCCTTTTTCTTTCTCTCCCAAATCTTTTGAGTAATTATGCTTCCTGCTGTTGCCACTGTTGCCATTTTTACAGTCCACCCCCAAAAAATGACAAATGAAAAGAACAAACCAAATTATGTACATCTCTACACACACTTGATGATTATAATAATGCTGAGGGCATATACTGTTCATCCTTACTGCTTCAAACATACTAATAACTATAGTATTTTAAACCCACATTACAGTATGTCCATGGTATATGACCAGACAATCAATCACACATAATGACAAACCATGTTGGCGGATAAATTAATCGGGATGGATCATGGATGTGGGATGGATCATGGATGTAGTCTCCCTCAGGGCTGTGAAATGATAAAGAATACAAGGCCAAGAGCTATTTCCCGTATAAAAAAAAGGGAAAGACGTGAACCCTTAGCCGTCCAAACAAAGTTCTCTACCTCTGACAACTCAGGAAAAACAGAAGGGGAGGGAAAATACAGAAAACACATACATGTTATATTTATAAAACCAGTGAGAAACCCTCAAACTTGTACAAATGGAGAATAAAAATAGATATAAAAGTATGTATATATTTATATAATTATATATCCATACACACGCGTACACGCACACACACAGGCGAATGTATTTGTCCACATATTGCGTAGAGAAAAATGACACATGAGCACCATGGCAAATCGGAGTATCACGAAGCTTATGCAACTGTGAAAGAAGGCAACTGAGCAAATATTTGATCTCTAATGTTTGGTTTATCCTGGCTCCCGACTCACACAAACACGCATAAACACACACACACACACACACACACCCATACAAACAGTCTGCTAGAAGCCACACACACACACGCATACGGTACAGAAGATAAACAGTCTGCTTGAAGTGACACACACACACACACAAACACGCATAAACGCACAAACACACAACCATACAAACAGTCCGCTAGAAGCCACACACACACGCGCGCGCACATACAGACAAACAGTCCGCTTGAAGCCACACACACACACACACAGAATCTGCCAGACGCTAGAGAATATTGATATTAAAACTGCAAGCTAATGCAATAGCTTTGGCGCATCACTAACTTAGCTGGAATAAAGCTGGAGAATGGTGTATACAGTGCTGGGAAACAGACAGACAGACAGAAACAAGAAACAAGAGAGGGAGAATAAAGAAGAAAAACCTACCAGTGTCGCCCTCTGACAAACGGCATAATTTCTAGGTCAAGTCTGTCCAACAAAACAATACAAAGACAATAGACATAGATACGCGTCATATTATAAATGACAATAAGATACATATCTGAGGATGGATGTCAAGTGTACCAGTATTAAACAGTCGTTCTCAGGATTTCGAGTGGAGGTTAACATGTTCATGACTTCTGACGTGCAAGAGGGTCACTTGCTACACCACAACCGTTACAAAGATTTCAAGATCCAGCAGAGAAGTCATGATAACACGTACGACTTCCTAAATATGAATAAGTGATACAGCAAAAAGACATATGATGCTCATCTGTTCTTCCCTTCCAATCTCTTTTTCCCTTGTGGAACAAAAACCCCCACAACAAATTAACTTTTAAAAATGTGATATGAAACTAAAAAAAACCCAGACTGAACGTGCGAATGCATGGAGATATCAAGTCGAGCATTGAGGTGTAGTTTACAGTAAATCAGTGAGATAACTGTCACATGTCCCTTAAATAGATTATTGCACAAGTGACGCAGATGAAGTATAAGAAGCATACCACACCACAGTAACCACAGGGACAGGCACTTACCATAACTTTTACTTCTACTTCTACTCTCCCATAACACATACTGCATCAATAAACTTTAAAAAAAAAAGTATGAACAAAAGAAGCTGAGATTATGCTCACAAAGATTTGGAATGGAAGACACGCACAAAAAAATCCATTCTGAGGCACCAACTTGATAAAGCTCATGTCTGTAAATAGACTGCACAATGGTATCTTTATCAAGGTACGGTACTACTGTACAGGCTATTAAAGGACAGGTTTTTATTATTAAACGAGGTCAGCAGGTGCGCAATGTGGTCAGCTCACTCTACTCCATACTACAGAGTCATTATTATTCTGTTCCTGCAGATATGGCTATTCGCTACCTCAGAATTACAAAGTTCTTTCTGCTCAATACCAAGTTTTGAGAGTTTTTGAGTTTCACAATATGTCAAGCTTTTTCGAAGGCAATTCTCAGAATATCCCTTGATAATGACTCTGAATATTCTTAAGATTTTGATAGAGCAGATAGAGCATTTGCTTTCTGACCTCATGGTCTTAGTAACTCAAAATGCCCAAAAATGTCGGATAGGACTTTGAAATTCTGTGGTAGCGTACTGTTTAGCTGACACTGACATGCAGTAGACTCCAGCTCAGCGACTGTTCCTACCACCAAGTTCTATCACAAGTATAGGAGCTTTATGCCCAGAGCAGACAAGGTAAGAGACTTTGTTCGTTTGTTTGAGTTAAGAATGAGATGCACATCAACAGATAGGTGAATATAATATAAGGGACCTGATGGAAAGACAGAAGAAATAGTTCAATGAACAAGAGAAAATATACAGACGTCAAGATGTAGTTTATGAGGAGTCATCTTGATGATGACCATATTTCACCACAGATAGGTGGGTTGTGTTTAAGTTTGAATAACAAGATAATAGTCATTAAGCGTCGAGAAAAGTTAAGAAAAACAGACAGAAACAAAAATTGGAAAGTAAAGAGGTAGGACCGACCAGTAGCGCCCTCCAACCATCCATTGAGTTGGGCTGTGGTGTATAGAAAGTCCATAAAATTACAAGGATTAAACTTGAATATAAAGGAAAACAGTCACAGTAAAAAGAAAGGAAAGGAGTAAGCCAAGGCAGAGGACCAGACAGACAACTGTAAACAGCAACAATACTTTCGAATAATGACTTAAGTATACAGACGAAAATACTTCATTATGTGTACAGAAATAACCACATTCTTATAGGATTATGACCGTGGTAACAGCAATAAAAAATTCATCATTTATGGTGAACATTGAGGAGAATGCCAATATTGGGACTCACAGGGTGATTTTTAAAAAAGCCCCACGTCTTTAACACACATACACACAGGCAAACACATTCATAGACACATAAATAAACTGGTGCTCAAGTATACTCGACATCTAACTTACAAATACACACATGCATTCAAATAGAAGCCAACACATACCACACACACTCACACAGAGTATAAAGGTAAACAGACACGCTCGCTCACTCACTCACTCACAGACACACAAATACACTGGCTCTCAGGCACAAAGTCTTTAACATCTACACCAACAAACCTCCCAAAAGTTAATACCCAACAAAAGATTGAGCCAGTAAGCCAGACACTCTAAACATCATCTACGGAATGTTGCGAGAAGCATGAGAGATCAGCTCAGACACTAAAACACAAGCCAAGCGGGCAGCTATATATGCACATCTAAATCCATCAATCGTCTTCCCACTTGGACGGAATAAACTTCCTACATCTTGTCATTTTTGTCACCACATCCCTTGCAGGAAAAACCCCAAAAAAACTTGGATCAGTAGAAATGATTAACAAAACCTTGGGAAAAAATGGTATAAAGTTTCTGCACGTGAGGCAAAGGGTATTAAACTTTTTGCTTGGAGAAATGGCAGAGCACATCATCTATAAAATTCAGCTCACTGTAGGTTGCTGAATCTCCGCAGAGTAGTACGGTATTAGTACAAGAACCCATGAGACCCTCAGAACTACCACGAGTAGCACACAGCAGACTCAGTAAGCACATAGCTTGTAGGAGACTCCAGCCATTTATCTCTGCTCGCAGACGACATGCAGTGACAATACGCTACTTCACAATTTTCGCGAGGAGGACATTTTCGCGGTCAAGGAAAAGGTGAACATTTCTTCTTCACAAAGAAACTCTTTCAAAGTAATTGACTACCCCTGAGAGTTAGCTCTTTGATCACAATCAATGTATTAAACTCCCATAAATACAAAAAAGACCATACACGAGTTTGGCTGTGTTTCAACACTGATTGTCAGGGCCAACCCAGGTAGTGTGAGATGGACCCTAGCAGAAAGACGGAGATATCCAATAAAATGTCATTCCCCAATGAGGAAATCAAACTCATGTCTTTCATGCCCAATTCAAAGAGTGCAACTATTGTAAGCCAACCACACATGTGCGCTGAGATCTAGAGGAGAATACATAAAAAGAGCGAAAACTGAACGTTTCAATCACAACAATAACGATAAAAGAAGGACATGGCATATCAAACATAATAAATTAGTCACAAAATGTTTAACTTAATTAAGAATATTGAGTTCCAATACACGTTAACAAAAATCCATGACATTTTAAACATGATTTAACTCTCTATCTCTGGCAAGCCACTCCCAGCAGTTCGTTTTCGGAACCGTTGTGCCGGTGAGCTGCATGGCAGCGGCTCGGGTACATTACTTTACGATGACTTCGACATCAAATCACTTTTCGGCAATTGCCGAAAGCAGGTTTCTTTTACTGAAAGTTTCATAGAACTATCAAAATAGGTTTGCCTGTTTCGATTTAATTATCCATTTAATGACATTTTGGTCATTTTTAGATTAAGTACCAAAAAAGGGCCACAGTGTAGTGGCCCCCTCAGAGATAAAGAGTTAAATCATCAATAAACAAAATTGAAAACAAACCCATTACATTTTCAAACATGATTTAAAATATCAATCTAAAAAAATGTCAACAAATCCATAACATTTTCAAACACGATTTGAAATATCAGTCAACAAAAATTGAAACAAAATCACTTTTCCAGTATTAATTAAGACAACAAATCAACAAAGAATACTCACCAACCAGAAAACGCAACAGGGACAGACCTAGGGAACATGATTTGAATACGTGCGTATGCTGAGAGAGCCCTCAATTTTTCCTAGCTTTGAGCAATGGGGTTCAGCGAGTGCATATAGGAATGTTTCAATTTGTGTATGTGGTCATGGCTGGGGGAGGGGGAGAGCAATGGGGTGGGATTAGGGTGAGCGGTGGTAGTGGGTGAGTAGAGAAAGGTTTGGGAAGGCATGGGAGGCGTTGTCTTACTTTGATACCTCTCTTCACCAAATCCAAAAGACTTTATCCACCAGGAATGCTACAGAACATAATACTAACAACTCACTGCCACTTGACAGCACTTTACCATGTGATATTTTTGTAAATATGTAAATCTAAGAAAAATCTGAGACATACATGCTGAACACTCTAGGAAGCTCCAGTAGACTGCTTAAAATGACTTCTTGATGAAGCTGCAGGAACAAAGCTACGTTTATATTTCCAGACCACAATGGAGAGAAGGTAGGAATCGGACAAGATACTTTCATGGTACAATCAGCATTATTTTTTAAAACGTGTGTTCCCTCCACATTCCTATACTCAAAAGTTCTCTGTAAGTACATGGACCCTTCAGAACTCAATGAAACCCATGTCCTTGGGCAACAAGATAATCTATTAAAGTGATCACCGACCCGAGGTACGAGAGGCAAAAAAGATCAAAGTTCACACTAGCTACAAAGTCATGGTTCACACTAAGTACAAAGTGGAGGAATCCAGACCACATGTAACAGCAATAACGTAATAAGTCATGGATGAAAGTGGACAGAAAAGCAGTAAAGATATTAAATCATATAACATTTTAACAGAATATTTCTCACAATTGTAAAATTTAAAAAAAAAATTGAAAGACATTTCTATCGGCTGTCATAATATTTCTTGAGTTATGGTGAAATCTCAAAGCTTATTTGATGTAATCCACAAATTATATCTCCCTGTTTAGGATAAACAAAACCTAAAACCCAACTCTGCTCCACATCCTTAACGAATTTCACTCTCTGATATCCCAATTTTTAAAAAACCTTTAAAAGAACAATTACGTGTGAAAAAGATATTTAAGTCTATGAGTAACAAGTACAAGTAATACACTCAACACGTGTATGCATCATAAAAATTCGTGCACGCAATGGATGCAGAAATGTATGTGCTTACTGTGTCTAAGTAAGTATACAAATAGAGAACTAACTAACATGTACATATGTTGAAGAGGGCACATGAAAATAATGCCGGAACATAATGAATACCCTCTTCCAAACACTTCAAACTCTTACGTGTGCAAGTGAAGTCACCCGTATGAGCATTAAAATATCCACATCGACCTAAACTATATAAATCTGTCAAGTGAAAGATGGCCATGTGTGACAGCTAAACAATTTTTTTATTCCAAAGTGGTATCACGGATGACTATGCGCTATGCCACATCAAGATGTAATCTTGTCCTTGATATGAAAGAAATGATCAAAACCTCTTTAATTCATTAATCATTAAATAATTAATGCAAAGAAATCATATTAGATGCTTTCCTATCAACAACATTTGGATTTGCTCCGTCAAACACCCACTTCATTATGAGCAAATTCTGCATTTGTTCCTTCATACCCACACATTTACTATAAAAAACTTAAAGATTTCGCCCTTCACACCCACACACTTCTCTGTTAGCAACATTGAGAATAGCCCCTTCACACCCTCAAACTTCCACCTGAGCAACATTTGGATTTCCCCTTCACACCCACACGCCTCTCTATAAGCAACTTTTAGAATTGCCCCTTCACAACAACACATTTCCCAATGAGCTGAACCCACAGACAAAGCCTGACCACAGTCCCTTCCTGACACCACTAGCCCCGAAAGTGCAGCAATATCACAGCCAAGTTGGCCAGGAAGACGACGGTGAGGATCACAAACAGGAAAGGAGGGGAGAGCGCTCCCAGCGCGCACCGTCATACCGTCTCCACAAACTCACGTCGCGACCACGAGGAGAAATTGTTGCCGCTTGCTGGCGTGGTGGAGGAGGGAGATGGGGAGGCCGAGTTCTCAGGGGAGGAATCCGAACCGCTGGACGTACCCTTACGTCGCCACTTGCGGTTTGACCACCTCCTGCTCAGATTTTCAATCTGAAATATTGATGACGAGATGATGTCAATTTATTGCTGAAGGGTGAAAAGTTGACAAATAGTGTCAATTTATTGTTGACTGATGAAATCTTAAGCCCTTCTTTAAAAAAAATACCAAAAAATATTTCAAGATGAAGGGTAACGTTACTGGAAAGAAAGAAAATATAATACAGAACTTACTAACGACAAAAGATTAGAAGTCTCAGATTAGGCAGAAGAACAGGAGCTCAAGACCTCTGGAGTTACACGTCTGGGAGTATTTATATTTAGAAAAGCTGAAACAAACTCCATGAGAAAAGACATTAACTTTCAATTATTATATACTATACCTGAACCTATCAACATGGGTGGTGGCACAGTAAAATCCATCACAAGTCGATTAATATAAGAATAAGCCAATTAACGATTTTCTCAAGCAAAACATCGCAACAGGTGACACAAAACCCTTCAACAAGACGATGGTAAAAAAAAAAGTAATAATGCTCAACAAATAAAAAATAAATATTGATTCCAGGGCTTGTTTTGAAGAATCTCCACTGACAGTGCACGTCATCACATGTATCACATGTGTATGAAAGGTGTCATCACATGTGTATTATAGGTGTCATCACATGTATCACATGTGTATTATAGGTGTCATCACATGTATCACATGTGTATTATAGGTGTCATCACATGTATCACATGTGTATTATAGGTGTCATCACATGTATCACATGTGTATTATATGTGTGTCATCACATGTGTATTATATGTGTGTCATTACATGTGTATTATACGTGTGTCATTACATGTGTATTACATATATATGTGTGTCATCACATGTGTGTACCTTGTCTCCAAGAAAAGAAAAAACTGTCAAGGTGACCAGCAGTCCCAGGGCTACATGAGTCCAGAACCTCAGTTTGTCTCTGTATGCCCGCCTGCGGGAAGGGGAAAAAACAAAAACCCATTAAAAAAAAACCCCAACTAAACAAACAAACTCATTTATAAACTCGTACCAATTTTGATGTAAGGCTAACATGACTTCATAAAAAACTCCCTCGACTGGAGAGCATGTTCTAGTTTACCATATCCGTCTCTGTGGGGACATACAGTACTAATTGGTCGCTTTTAAGGACAAGCAGGCCAACCCAGATTTCTGGGGTTTCCAGAAATCTTGACCTCCACCAAAAGTGGGCATTGCCCAACCTATAGGAGCAGTTTGGTTACATTGGTATGTACACTTGTTTGGCTATAGAGAAAACTCTCCTTGTCTTTTGAAGAAACTGAACAAGGGGCAAAAAACTTTACCTGCGATTTTCTCAAAAGAGCATTTTCCGGGATAGCCCCCTTGAGCTTAAAAGTGACCACATGTATTATGACGCAGTGGAATCCGGCGCTTGTCAGTTTTTGACCATGTGGAGTTATGGCTATCATCTAAAAGCTTTTTATTTGCCTTTCTTTAAATAAAAAAAATACTCGTCTATCATGAATAGAATTCGACATATTTTCAATTGAACGAGGAAGGGTCGCCTGGTTTCAGTTGTAAAATAAGCGAAAAAATGGCTGCCAAAGTGTGGTAACTTCAATAGTTTGAGAGTACTTTAAAACACGAAAATTTCATATTGTGTGCCTTTAGTCAATGTTTTTTTAGTACAATTCACATGGAAATGTGTTTCTAAATGACATAAAAGGTATTGAGCCAAAAAAAAAAAAATTCGATAAAATTGCCAAACTGATGGAAAAATGTCTGTTTCTTCCATTTCACTATTTTGATGAGCACCTGATTTCACCACGATGCCTCACATACAACGTTTGGCTTGGCAATAGTCACACATGCTGGTTTTGTTAAAAAAGTGAGGAACGGAAACTTGGAAGCCTAAAACTAAGGGAATTCCAGACTGTACAAGTAACCGTACCATTCTCGCAGGTCGTCCATGTGAAGGAATCGGTTGCGATAATCCCGAGGAAGCTCAAACTGTGACTGCAAGGGGAGAAGAGACTCGTAAAAGTCCTGTAGGATGGCCTTCACCTTGGAGAAAAATAGGAAATCACAATGTCACAAGTTGGGGAGAAAAAAAATGAAAGCTTGCAAGAACATAAACACACATGCATGATACACACAAATTATTAGCATAGACAAACCTGTATTCAAAGAAACACTCATAAACAAATATGCACACAAATATACATACACACACAAACATACATCCTCACAAAAACACACATGTTCAAAAACCAAGAACAAAGAGGGCAAACAGCCATCACAACAAAAATCAACTAAACTGGGGGCTCCAGTGGCTAAGTGAGTAGTGAGTTTAGACTCAAGAAATGTCAGGCAAGTGTCGGTGACACGGGGATCAGATGGGTGGTCACTGGGGTGTGTCTTGAGCAAGACACAACAACCCTAGCTCAAGATACAGGGCGCTGCACAGTGGCGACCGACAATGGCATGGTTGTAAATTGTTCTGTATTTGTGTAATATTGTGTACTTATTTATATATTTGATCATTTATTTACTTATGTACGTATTTATAATTATGTATATATGTATGTATATATATGTTTGCCATTGTAAACCAAAGTGCCCTTCTGGGACACAAAAAAAAAAGGGTAATTTATTTTTATTTATTATCATTATCATAGAAAAATACACTCTCGTGGCCTAGAGGTTAAGGTGTTGGCCTCTCATTCAAAGGTCCCGGGTTCGAATCCGGGCAGCGACCGAAAAATTTTCTTCTCTAAAATTGTCCCCTTTCACCTCCTTTCCTGCTCTCTAGCAATGTTCTGTTGTCCGCTTTCAATTCCACTTTCTGCCCCCACCCCCTCACCTCCTTTGCCACCTCCTCTGGGCTCCTGACTCTTTCTGCAGCCTTTCTACTGCTACTCCTTGGCTCCTCCTTACTGCTGTCTTTCTGCCACACCCCTGATCTTCTGGTAGGAAAGATCTAAACCTAGCCTTCTCGGACAAGGGCGAAAAATCTCGGAGGGCTCGTGTGCAAGTTGCGCACGTTAAAGATCCCTTGGTGGTCTAAAATCGATAAGAGTAGGCTTCGGCCGCCACCCGGGCAAAATTCAAAATTTCCTACCAACTGAAAATATTAGGTGTGTCCCGCGCGCTCATATGACCTATGCAGTTGCGAGCGCCGTAAAACACTTTACAAAAACAAAAAACAAAAAACACTCCTGTTTCCCGCCTCCAACAGGTCAGTCTCCAACATGGTATAATCGACAGTGGCAACAACTTACTGTTTTGGCTTCCTCCTTCGAGTGCTCAATGTTGTCGTTCAAACAAATGAATTTCCTGGAAGAACAACAGATTTTTTTACTTACTTATCTTCCAAAACCCCCCCCCCCCCACACAAAAGCCCAGTCTACAGTACAGAACATGGCACAGAGACGACCAGCACTGCTGTGTTTGTAAAAACTGTCTTCATCGATCTAATACTGAGTGCTATGTGACGTTAATGCACTCTCGGAATCATTTGAGAGGCATCGTGGTGAAACCAGGCGCTCGTTAAAATATTGAAATAGAAGAAATTGGCACTTTTCCACCTGTGTGGCAATTTCTTTTAAATTTTGGGTTTTTGGCTCAACGCCTTTTTTGTCCATATAAAAACCCATTTCCATGTGAATTTGACTCAAAAACGTTGATTAAAGGCAAAAAATATGTAATTTTTCAGTTTTCAAGGACTCTCAAGCTATTGAAATTACCTAACTTTGGCGGCCATTTTCTCAGTAATTTTACCACTGAAACCAAGTGATCCCACGCCCTCCAATTGCAAATATCTCGACTTCTATTCAAGTTACACAGGTATTTTTTAAATTGAAAGCAAAGCCAATGAATAAGCTTTTAGATAATACCAATAACTCCACATACCCAAAATTTGATGAGCGCCTGATTCCACCACACCGTGACACATTTTTATATATGCATTGTACATGTTTTTGTTCCACAAATTTCACTACAAGATCAATAAAAAGTGGTATCTTACATTCTCATTTCATTTATTTTATTTCAGTCCTGAAAAGAAATATAAAATAACTTCAAGTGACATTTAATCAGAATTTGAGTTAAATGAGAGCATCACTGTATTTCAAACATCTTGTTTTAGCAGAATTTCATACATGCTGTACCTCAGAAGTAACAGTTAAAAAGAAGCCAGTATACAGCGGTATACTCACTTTGGATGTTTGCGAATATCGTCCAGTTGTCCTACCACATGGGAGACATTAGTATGGATCATCTTGAAGGCGATGTCCCCATCATCCACTGTTGTCGTTCTGAAACAGAAAAATGTTTGAGGTAAAGGGATCGTGCCACTAAACACCAAATAAATATTTTGAAAAATTTTTAAAAATAAAGTATAGCTATCCCAATTCAAACGTTCTTGACCCTGAGTAAAGATTCAGGGCCACTGTGGGGGGCACAGCGGGGTTACAACTATGTCTTTCAGAAACGGGAAACAGCCAGCTTGGATGTGCAAAGGCATAGGAGTGGGGTTGGTGTATTATACTTTACTTTTACCTAAAAACTGCCAATCTTTTTTTAACCACACTATAAGTTCCAATGTTAATTTACAAGTAACATCAAACATAGGTCGGATTGTAACTTGGACCAATGTGCATATCTATGAGGTTTACTATAGAGCCCACAAGAGCAAAAATCATAAATTGAAGAGATTTCACGTAGACCAGTCGAGGTGGAGAAAACTATCAGCTAGACTGCTGGCTTGTAGTCAACACTTTACTATTACATCACAGACACGGGTTATCCCTACTAAGAAGAAGCCAAAAGCAGTCCTCATTTCAAACTAACAGAGACACTCGGAATATCCCTGGCCGTAATTCCCCACTTACTTGTATTTTGACACAGGCTTGAACTTTTCTTTGACAAGGTCGACCATATCTGAACAATTGACAAAGAGGAACCTGGTCACTTGCGGCTGGGGAAGAGATTGAAAAAAACACAATTAAACAAATTTGTGACCAGCTATCTATCAGTTGGGTGATCAGTCAGGACCATCATTGCTGTCCACGTCTGTTAAAAATGTTATATTGATTGGCAAAATCTCCTTAATTTTTGTATGATCAAACATCTGCCTAAAAAAAGAACAAAGAGAGGTTTATTTGAACTCAATGAGCATTTGGACAAAGTAATTTAAGTTTTTTGAAAGTTGGAAAAGTTTGACCAAAGTTAAGCTTCAAAGTGACCAGATTCTAACTGATTCTAAAGGGAGTTCGTCCTTGTATACATACGTACATAATTATGGGTTCAAATATTCCTGCACGTCTTTGTCTCAAGTGTAACGTGCATGTGTATGCTCATCAACAGAGGTACACAGTATATATTTTGGAATGTATGTGAATGTATATTTGTGGGTCTTAGACATACTTGTTATATCACTGTTGAATTGGGGTGGGTGGGTGGGGGTCAGGGAAGAGTTACAAAAGAAGAATTGTGAGGTGTGCTAACAAAATAAGTTACTTCTCGCAGTCCACAAATGGAGATATTGGGCCCAAAATAGCCACTAGGGTCAAATTTGTAGATTTTCTATTGATGCCATATTTTTAAAGTATAACATACCTTTTATTTCATACTAATAAATTGCAAAAACTTCACCCTATAAGTGTGATGTATCTGTTTCCTTAAGGCCTGAATCCGAGAAGTAATTCATTTTATCAGCACGCTTCACAATTTGTCTCACCATGGACTTATCGTAGTAGATCTCTCTCATGTCCTCAGACAGACCGGTCAGTGAAGGGTCATCTCCCAGCATATTCGAGCAGTTGATGAACTTGCTCTCCAGCCCAGCCAGAGTCTGAGAAATGACAACAAAAGACAAAGTTACCTCAAGGAGGTGGCATATTTTATCTGTGTCAATTTATTTTTGCAAGAGTTTTAAGGCACTTGTAACACAAATCTGCTCTTACTGCCACCTGTCCTAATAGCCACTTCCCACCATACACTTTTTCTATGTTGTAAAAATACTGTACAAGTGTTAGAAAAATGAAACAGTTTTTTCCCTCTCCTGATCCTGAAAAATTTTGTTTTCCGGACTTAAGACATTTCAACAGTTTGCTGATGAATTAATTTTTTTTAAAGAAAAGAAAGGATATTAACATGATATTAAATGATAATGGCTGTTTAGCATATGGAACAAGCAACATAATACAAACAGAAAAAAAACCCAGAGGGAAAGAAAAGAAGCAGGATCTACTAGAGATGCCTCCAACCAACCTCTCAAAGCAGACTGTAAATATCTTATGAACCTCTTTCAATTTATAACAGGTGTAGTTAATAGACAAGTAATGAAAAAAACAACAACCACAAAACAAATTACCTCCAAATACAAGGGAAGGTCATACATTTTAGCCGCAAATGTTCGGATTTCTCGATCGGACAGGATCCTATGAGAAAAGAACGGGAAAACAGTCAATGGACTTAAGCAAAACAAGTGACATTTTTATATTAGATCCACTGTAAAAGTATAACCAATCAAATTTACTTTTAATGGAAAAAACCCAACAAGCAGAGTGACAGAATAAGAGAAAGAAATAACCATGTCAGAGACAAAGAGAAAGTGAGAGATAGAGATAAGGAAAGAAAGATAACAAGAAGAGAAAGACACGGAGAGATAAAATGAAAGAGAGAGACAGATACAGAGAGAAAGAAGAATAAACGAATGAATTAAGAGATACGGAGGGATAGAGGGATCATTTACCCTGAGTTCTCATAGAAAGAAACACGGACAGACAGAGAGAAAAAGAGAGACATAGATTAAGAGAAAAAGATGAATAAACAGATACAGTGACAGGGAGGGAAAGACAAAGATAAATAATTTACACGAGTTATCCGAGAAAGGAACATGAAGAGACAGAGGGAAATATGGAAAAAGATAGACACAGTGACAGAACATTTACCCAGAGTCATTGAGGAAAGAAACCCAGAGAGACAGGGAGAAAGAGATATTGAAAAAGAGACAAACAGAGACAAATCATCATTTACCCTGAGTTGTAAGAAAGAAACTCAGAGAGACAGGGAGATAAAGAGAAATACAGAAAAAGAGAGACAGAGTGACAGAGCATTTGCCCACAGTCATTGAGGAAAGAAACTCAGAGAGACAGGGAGAAAGAAACAAACATAGACAGATCAGTTACCCTGAGGTATCGGACAAAGAAAAATGGAGAGACAGAGAGAAAGCGAGAGATACAGAAAAAGAGAAAAACTGACACAATTTATTTTAGAAACATAGAGAGACAGGGAGAAAGAGGGATTGAAAAAGAGTTGTTGGAAACAAACTCAGAGAGACGGGGGAAAAAGAGAGATATAGAAAAAAAGACACAACAGAGACAGAACATTTACCCACAGTTACTGGAGAATGAAACTCAGAGAGACGGAGAGAAGGAAGGAAATATAGAAAAAGAGACAAACAGAGACAAATCATTATTTACCCTGAATTGTTAGAATGAAACTCAGAGAGACAGAGAGAAGGAAGGAAATGTAGAAAAAGAGACAAATAGAGACAGATAGCAGAGACAGGGAGTTTACCCTGAGTGGTCCGTGTCCATCTGCTCAAAGACGTCTTCCACAGCCACTGGCTCTGTCACTCCCATCAGGTAGTAGTAGTAGGCGAAGGCGAACTGCATGTCGGTGGAGCTCCGGATCTTGTGGGAGGATGTCGTGTCCCACTCAACCGGGAATCTGAACACAAAGATCAAAAGTTTGCTTTTGTTCTTGATAGGGTTGTTTTTTTTTTGGTAAGTGTTTTACAGCGCTCGCAACTGCATTAGGTCATATGAGTGCACAGGACACATTAAACTTTTTCAGTCGGTAGGAAATTTTTAATTTTGCCAGGGCGGCAGTGAAGCCTACTCTTATAGATTTTTGACCACCAAGGGATCTTTAAATGTGCGCAACTTGCACACGGGCCCTATGAGATTTTTCACCCTTGTCCGAGAAGGCTAGGAGTAGATCTTTCCTACCAGAAGATCAGGGGTGTGGATGAAAGACAGAGGTAAGAAGGAGTCGAGGAGTAGCAGTAGAAAGGCTGCAGAAAGAGATAGGGTTTTTGATGTCCTACTAAACACAGAAAAGGTTATTTCAAAGATGAGCATTCAACCTTCTCTATATTTTTGAGTTCCACTCCATCAGGACTCTGAACACACACCAAAAGTTTGCTTTTTGGTGCTGTTAGGTACTCCATCCCGTTAACTGGTTTCTCTAACATTTTTTAAAAGAAAAAAATCCCCCCCCTCTGATTTAAATCATGAGAGTAAACACAAAAGGTTAGCCCACAGTACTTTTATATTATCTATGGTGCACATTGATTAGCAATGACCACGAAAAACCTTTTTTTGCCAGAAAGTGTTTGCAAATATGTGCATTTTGTAGCTTTATCTTCACCGAGCATGGAACTTTTTGAATTTTTGAAATCCATCAATTAACAAAAAAGTTACGGATTTTTTAATCAATTAATTTCTGGTACACTTTTATATAATTAAAGACCCCCAAAATATGGGACGTTCTTTGGTGAGTTTTGAGACAATATTCGTCATAACTCGCTCATTTTTCAGAGTATTTAAAAGAAACTTGGCAACCCAGTACATTTTCTAGTGCAGAATCTAGTCCTGCTTTCAGATTTTTCATAGCTATCCTATTTTTTGAGTTATGAAGACGTTTATAGGTAAAAATGTGGCGGTTTTTGGTGCGTTTTGAGACAATATTTGTCATAGCTCGCCTATTTCTTGGAATATGTAAATGAAACTTGGCAGTCTAGTACATTTTTTAATGCAGAACCTAGTCATGCAGTCAGATTTTTAATATCTGTCATACTTTTTGAGTTGTAAAGACATTAACAGGTAAAAAAAGTGGCGTTCTTTACAGATTTACAAAGATTATCAGTCATATGTTCTCCCAAAGTCATGATATTTGAATGAAACTTGGCAACATAAAAGGTTCCTCCTTGCCAAGCAATGCTCTGGATCAATTTGTCACAAAAATGTAAGTAGAGAGCTGGATTTATTAGTCTAATAAATCAAGTTCTGTACTAGTAAAAGCATGCTTACTTTGTTATAGAAAATAAGATCGTCTCTGTGTATATCCATTGTTGGACAGTGTCCTGTTGTGTGGTAGATTAAGATGCGTTCAGATAATATAGTTTACAAGTCATGGGAATATTTCGCATGTGTAGGCTACAACTCATACAATAAATGTAACATATTTACCCCCCCCTCTCTCTCTCTCACGCGCGCACAAACATACACACACGCACATGCACGCGCTCGCACTCACGCACGCGCGCGTGAACGATAACAATGTATAAACGGGACTATCTTCCCAGACTGAACTAAATAAGTACCATACTCTTTAATAACAATCTTAATGCCTCACTTTTCCAAACAGGGCGCACAGGACGAGTCCAAGTGTGTGCTTTCCCAAGAGGGGGGAATAGGCTTTCATAACGCAAACACAATGCCATACCACTTCTCAAGATGTTTGCTTTTCTATTTTTATTCTTCTGTCATGCAATCAAGCAAATAAAAATGACTACATCTATTGTATTGTGACTAAAATGCAACACAAACGCAAGTTATCAGGGCCCCCGTTTAGTTTTCATGTATCCTTCCCCCCCTTTCCGGTTCACATAAGCGGGGCCTCGTTTGTAGCGCCCGAGGCGACCGATGGCTGATGACGTCACTCAGTGGAAATTTCCCAGCCGCAAATCGTTCGCAAATGGCAATGCCGCTTTTTCCCTTAGTTACTCCCACATTTTTAAAGATTACGCCAAAACCGCTAAACACAGAAGCTTGAAATTTTAAAGGGAATAAAGAAAAATGGTGAACAACGTATCAGTCAGTTTGACAAATCACAGCTCCGAAAAATCTTCAAAGCGCACCACATCAGCCACTTTCGCAAACGTTTTCGACTGCTTCTAGGATGGGTACAATGTTGTCAAACTGCATACTACTACATTGACCTCTTTTCTGATTGGCTGCCAAGTTTAATTCATATCCATTCACGAGAAGCGGCGTGAGAGCGAGTTGAAGACAACAACCTTTGCGTTCGTGCGTCCCACGAAACACCCCCGCTGCGGGGGTAAAAAATCGGCAGAACAAAACACGCTCGGTGGGCATTGCTACATTGATCCTGATTTCCATTGAGGACCCACAGATAGACTGCAATGGTAACACCCATGAAAAAAGAGAGCATAGCTGTTCTTTTTTATTTTGCCTATACTACAAGAAGCATCCCTTTCTACAAACAGCAACCATTTATTTCCACCACTCACTATTATCTCACTCTGAGCTTCAAATGAACTAGAAAAAAAAATACTGTCCAATTAGTCAACCCACCTAGCCTGTAGTTCAAACATAATGTTTTTATCAATCATGTGCGGCATGTGGCCAGGTACTTTTCGGGAGGCAAAGCCAAACTTTTTGTTGTAGATGCGGTTGACGTGGCGCAGAGAGTCGCCAAAGGTGTCCAGGAGTTGTCTGCTTTGCCAGCCCTCCACCACGTAGGCATTGGCTCTAAGCCCTTTCTCCGCAGAACTCTGTGGAAACCACGAACATTTGAACATTACGTCTTTTATACTAAAACATACTGACTTTTTGTTTGTTTTAGTAGATGTTTTATGGAGCTCGCAACTGCATAAGGTCATATGAGTGTCAAGGGGAGGATGTCAACAGAGAAGTCCTTACAGGGAATAAGACTTACTCTGCTCACCTCTCTAGCTTCAACAGCAAAAGTCTGCTTTGACTATCAAGGCACCTCGGAAATAGCGGGTCACAAGAGAGAGACAAACATACAAAAGAAGTAGAGGAAAAATGACGATAGTAAGGATAAGGAAAGAAAAAGCAGCAGTTCCCTGTTGCAGTTCAGGCACAGTTATAAGCAAGACATTGATGAATCAGCTCATTTACAATTGCAATTCTACTGTGCATATGAACATGGTTAATGTCCGCCCTTTGGGAATGGCCTAAAGACACTTCAGTCAGTAGCACTGCCCCGGGGGGTAATACTGACTTTAAACTTAAAACATTTTGACTTTACATTTACAACATTATGTTACAATATTACACACTCTACTTTACAACCTTACACTCTTGCCAAAGGAAACCATAGACATCTGAACATTACACCTTTTAAGCTATAGCATTAGGCTACAACCTTTCATCTTTTAAGTTATAACATTACCCTACCACACTAGCTCACTGCCTACCCACCATATTTCCCATTGCTATCTCCTGAGTACCTACAATTTCAATGTGAATTTCAAAAATCACTGACACGAGTGACAAAAATATAGCTGTGGTAAGGACACTATAGAATAACTTCTGAAGACTGAAACTGCAGGATCGGCGGTAAAAGTAAGCAGTTGAAAAAGAACTTTGACCACAGCAGATGTGGCATGGGTAGGCAGAGAAGCCCTTTCACAGGGGCACAACATTAGGGCATTTAAGCAGCACCGTTACGACAAAACATTAACTCAAACCACAAACAAACACGTAAAAGAATAGACACACACAGACAACTTACCTCTGCTGTGTGGTTGCTGGGCGTGTCTTGTCTCTCCCACGGGAATCCTCTGGTCTCGTCCTCAGCACCTTCCACACTGACCAGACGCAGGAACTCCGCATCGCTTAGCTGGAATACAACACACAAAGGGGTTACTGAGCTCAGGTTTTTGAGTTTGAGTGAAGAGAAGCACATCCACACAATAACGGCCTTAAAATACACAGGATTGTTTGTTTGGTTTAGTTAAGAGAAGCACATCGATATAATAGTGACACATTTTGAGCAGGGAAAAAATAAGACAGAGAGACATTCAGAGAAATAAAAATAAGGAAAGAAAAGAAGTAGAATCTACCAGTGGCATCCTCTAACCTCCTAGAAGTGCACAGGAAAAAATAAGACAGATAGACCCCCAAAAAAGTAGGACCTACCACAGAGCAACTGGTTAACAGAGACACACAGACGGAGGCAAAGAGAGAGACAAACAGACACACAGACACTCGTGAACAGCAGTAACACATGGGAGAGAAAAGTAGAAAGGCAAACCAGTCGCGCTCTTCAACCAACCACAGAGTAGGAATAATCAGTTGTGTGTAATACCAAGAACACATTGAAAATAATTAAAAGCCTACCTTCTTTTATTTTGACCCAAAGTGTAAGAGTAAATTTCACAATATTGTGTCAAAGATGTGGACATATCATCTGCATGAAATAAATTGAGGCAAATATTTCAAAGGCAAAGGTGCTAACTGGCTGAAAAAACAACAACTCTCAACTTTTCAGACCCCAAAGGAAACATGTGTGCCGGAACTCAAAATTTAACACTTTGCGGTCATTTGGCGGTGAAAATTATCCGTTCCGGTCATATGGTGCACTTTTGCGCCAGGCCCGAGAAGCCTGGTGCAGTCACTCTCCTGGCTGGGTGACCAGATGGGGTATTTTGTACTGCTGGCTGTGTGACTGCAAAGTGTTAAGGACCATATTGTCTAATACATGTTGAATCAAGACTATCTTTATATAAAGTGCAATATCACATGCAAAATAAGATTATAATAAAAATATAAACAAATGTAGGCAATTTCAAATGTTCAGATTTCTTGATTTATCAGGAAAATTGGCACCTCGGTAAAGGAAAAAAATAGGAATAATGGTGCAAAATATCAAGAGTAGATTGTAAGAACTCAAATGGCCTCACCTCATGCCCAAGCCGACCTTCTCTCATCTTCTCCCTCACTGAGGCTCGGTGATGCTCCTGGCGTGCCAGTTGGTTCGACCAGTAGATCGCAGCCAGAAGTTTCCGGCCCGGTCCTTTCACTGGCCCGCCACCGTTGTCACTGTCTGCTTCTAGACCGGCGTCCGCGAGACTCTCGTCTCCCTCGGGAGGACGCTGCGTCACACGGATGGGCTGCGGCAAAACACTTTTGTTTGCTGGTGGTGGTACCTTGTGATTTGAATCGGACTGTACTTCAGGATTCTGGGCGTTTTGAGGGGGTTGCATCTGTTGTTGTTGTTGTTGTTGCTGCATCATTTGTTGTTTCTGGGGGTCATCCTTACGTACTTCTTGTTGTTGAGGCCTGAGCATTTGTTGTTGTTGTTGTTGTTGTTGCTGTTTTAGAGGTTGTTGTAATTCTTGCTGTTGTATATGTTGTTGTTGATGAAAGGGCTCATTAGGCTGTTGAGGTTGTTGAATCTGCTGTTGCTGCTGCAGGGGCTGATTAAGTTGCTGCTGCTGGTGATCCTGCTGAAGTTGCTGCTGTTGCAACTTTTGTCCTTTAGTTATCAGCTGGAGTAAAGGCTGCTCATCTTTTCCTTCAGCAGGCTTATTGATGACATCATTTGACCCCTTAGGGCCCTCAAGTGCAGCTGTCTCTTTTCTTAACTTTTCCTCAGCAAACTTTGCCTTCAGGGAGTCAAGTTCCGGGCCAAAGTGCTGCAACACGTCCTCCAGCCCGACTCTCATTCCAAGTTCCGTCAGTTCATCTGTAAGAGAGAAGAAGATGATAAAAAGGATCAACATCAAGAGAAAATTGTTACTATAAATGTTTTATGCTCCATTCCCATCTACAGCTTCATCCTTGCCTATCAGGGCCAATCCAGGATATGAAGGAGACAACATCCCATAAGACTGACAAAGACATTTGATTTAAAAATGGAGGAGAATGTAACTGTTAGACCACAGACGCTGGCCTTAACATCACGTTGATAAGAGAGCAAAATGGACATTACCATAACAATCAGATGAAAGAAGTTTTAAGGAAAAAAAAATAAAAAAATAAAATCCAAACTACAAAAACAGCATAGGAAAAAACAACTGGCATTGTTTGTTTTTTTCATTGAAAAGTCGTATATGGAGTGTCATTTCCCCAGGACCAGGCAGGACTATAACTTTGTTATCTCTTTCCAACTCCATCTCTCTCTTTCTTACAGACAACTATTCTTTCTTTCTGATTTTCTACCTCTGCCCCCCCCTCCCCACACACAAACTCTATCTCTCCTTCAGCTTTCTCTTTCCAACTATTGCTCTCCTTCTTTCCTCCCCTGACCTCTCCTCGTCCCTCCCTCCCACATTCTCGATCTCTCTTTGCCTCCATTCCTGGCCCCCTTCAGCACCAGCAGTGCACCCCTGAGGCTGTCCAATATGTCCACATTCTCTCTCTCTCTCACTCTCCCCCTCCCAGTTTCTACCTCTTCCTCTTTCCCTCCAAATCCTCCGACACTCACTCCGTCTCTCTTTACCTCCATTCCCGGCATCCTTCAAGTGCCAGCAATGCATCCCTGCTGCTATTCAGTATGACCACATTCTCTCTCCATTCCCCCTTCCCACATTCTCTCTCTCTCTCACACACACACACTCTCTCTCTCCGCCCCTCGCTCTCTCTCTTTCTCTCCCACCTTTACTCTTCAGACGTGAATTTTGAAGCTATTGCCGTGACGTGTTCCTCCTCCCCCCTTGTTACACCCCCCCCCCCCCCCCCTCACTCACACAAACACTCTCCTCTCTCTCTTTACCTCCATCCCTAGCTTCCTTCAGTGCAAGTAGTGCATCCCTGAGGCTGTCCGACATATTCACATTCTCAAAATGATCCAACAAGTCGGCACCAAGATCTGCAGTATTCACATCGGCCGTTCCCACAAATTGCTGTGACTTTGCAACTGGGCCTCTGAAATCAGGATATAAGAACATTGTGTAATTGTGTAATCCCTAAAAAGAACCCCCCACAAAATAAAAAACATGATCAACTATTTCTACTAATCTAACACTATCCGGCTACTATCACATACAGCAGGCGGTCTTATTTTTCTTTCCCTCTGTTGTGTTTGTCTTACTTTTTACTTTGCATTAAATGACTGTTATACTGCTGAGGCACTGCTCTTTGCTCAAAACGACACACACTATAGACTCTGGTGTTTCTGTTCAGTTTCATTATGATTGCAGTAAAAAAATAATTCAGTGCTGTTGGTCAAACCGACCAGGCGCCTCACTTGTTTTTCTCTCAGGATTTCCTAAATAGTTGTTTCGGCTATGCTATAGCTTCCTCAGCTGAAGTGACCGTTGTCCACTGACCTCACTTTTCCTGGCGCTTGGTGGAAAGCCTCCGCATCCAGCTGATCGTCTGACACGACAGACGACGCATCTGACCCATTTACAGCCGGCTTTTGGTCAGCTCCTGCCTGCTGGTTTTTCTCAGATCTTGGTACTGACGTGTCTACATCGACAGTGAGGTTCAGCTGGACACAGGCAGGAGAAATGAGAATGTTGTGAATGCGGCCTGCGAGTACAGGGAAGGAGGGAGGAAAAGAGGGAAGAAAGGATGGATGGATGGACAGAGATAGGAGAAATGAGATTGTTTTGCATGGTGTGAATTTAGGGAGAGAAGGAAGGAGGGAGAGATGAAATTGACTCTAGGGAGAGAAGGAAGGAGGGAGAGATGAAATTGACTCTGGGGAGAGAAGGAAGGAGGGAGAGATGAAATTAAGTTGACATGTGAGAGAGAGAGAGAGAGAGAGAGAGAGAGAGAGAGAGAGAGAGAGAGAGAGAGAGAGAGAGAGAAAAAGAGAGAGAGAGAGAGAGAGAGAAAGAGAGAGAGAGGGAGGGGGGGGGGACTGAGACCCATTTATATTTCCTTTCACTCGAGACATTTTCATGACAAGAGAGAAGTAAAAATCCTACCTGACTACAGAACCACAAAGAATAACTCATTATTCACCTTCAAGGTAACATTGTCAGCCTTCTGGTACTCGAGGAAGAGCTTTAGCATGGTCGCGTTGTGTTCTTTTTTCATGACGACCGTCAAAACTTGGAACTTGTTGGCCACAGCCGCAGCTCGAAGAATGTCTGAAGACTCATACTTAGCCGAGACCACTTTTCCTTTCTCACCCAACAAGTCCGTGAGGTTGAAATAAGCGCTATGCTCTCCTGGACATGAAACGACAGAAAACAAATTGTCAAGTCATAACAAAATTGCTCAAGTCATTTTTGTTTTGTTTTGAGACAGCTTAAAAAACAGTGCTAAAAACTTAAGTCTACCTTATTAATTGAACTAAAGTGAAAACAGTCTAAATAATTAAATAGATCATTTAGTATTTTATACAATTTATAGTACGTGCTAACCTCCAATTTTTTTTTGGCTGTGGATTCCCAGACTGATCTTGGCAATGGTTTTAGAACAACAAAAAAAGAGAATTGTTTCATCACATTACATAGAACATAACACCATCGATATGCATTGATCATAACATTGTTAGCCAAACTTCCCATGAACCCACCTGCTGGCACAACGTACTGCGTTTTCTCCGCCTGCAGAGTTTGGCCGTACATCAGGTCATAGCGCGACACACCGCAGTCACCCGCATCGTAGCCACAGTCGTAAGTGTTACATGACTGGAGGGAAAGAAAACAATCAGGCACAGGTATTACGATAAAACTAAAGTATAACACCCCCCCCCCCCTGGTGTTCATGTACATCAATGATTATAGCTAGTTGTTTCCTGTCCCTACAACACAAAGCAGCAACCCCACTCTGACCCTGGATCTACACACATTGTCAAGCAAATTCAAAATGAAGCCGGGGTGGAGTGGGGAACAACTTTATTTTTACTGATATTATACTTATGCAGCATGGTCATAAGAGTGTAAGAAGGTTTGCTTGATAGTTTACTTCAGTAAAAAAGAAGCACACCAACACAATTGTACTGCATATCATCCGACGACTCTCCCCCCCCCTCCCCCCCAACCAACTTCCAAAGTTAATCTTGCATACTTTTATTTTACTTTTCCGATCCAGCGGCTATCTGAGTTCTAGCCCACATACACTCCCTAAGCCCCCACCCCCCAGTAGGAAAAATCCCACATACACTATCTAGGCACCCCAGCTCCCTGTTGGAAAAATCCCACATACACGCCCTCAGCACCCCACCTCCCCATCTACTGACCTGATCACAGTACTTGTCAGCCAGCCAGTTGTTGGCACATCCTGTAGCACAGTACGCTGGGGGAGATGAGAAGACCGACAACATGACACACACTGAAGGCACACACTGAAGGGACACACTGTACATACACACATTGGCTACATACACTTACCCTACACATGCACTGACTGAACATAGAGAACAAGCACACTTGACTGAATGCACACACTCACACACACACATAGTCACAGGCACACACGCACCCACCCACACACACACACACACAACAGCTGAACATAGAGAACATGCACACTTGACTGAATGCACGCACACACACACACACACACACACATACACACACACACTCACAGGCACACACGCACGCACGCACACACACACAAAGGCCACACACACACACACAACGGCTGCACACACGGACTGAACACACACATTGACTGAACATACTGACCACACATGCTGAGGTTCCATGCACAAACTGTCTACATTGATAGCACATGCTGACCACACACTTTGACAATTAATAAGAATGAAATAGGTGGCCAGAGGAGTCATTTTGAAGTGAAGGGGGCACAGCTATGAAAAGCCACTTTAACAAAAAAAAAGTTTAAACAATCACAGCAACATGCTTTAAAAAAAAAAAAAGACAGTTTACATTTAATATCATGAGTGCTGTCTAGTGGTGCTGTAAAAAAAATAGATAGACAGAACTTGCAGCATTAAACTGTACTTTACAACTCATAAAAAAACCTCACCGCTATCTATTAGCTAGCCAGAGCATATTTTGTATTACAGCACAATTCTGTCATACTCACAGCTATAATCTCCCATGATTTGACCCTGGTCACCATGGAAACCTGCCCCCAGCTGCACACGCCCACCGGTGCCTGAAGCAAATAGGTCAGTGAGACGCATATGAATAGGGGAATGAGAAATATAGAGAAAAAGAAGTGGGTTTATCAATCCCTATGAAAAATACAAGTGGTGACATTAATATCACTAAGCTGGCCACAGATAGGTCATTTTGTAGAAAGCGTATTTTATAGGAGAGGTTAAAAATTATTAAATAAACTATCAAAGACCACTTCAGCTCAAATTTGGCATAAATGAATAGAAAAACTCCTGAAACAAATTTGATGAGCATCTTTATAGAGGTGGTGTATTTGACCCTGCTTTACAATAGGTTAAAGAATCAGGTCTTATAAAATTTCAGACCTGGCCATTTGTGACCGATGTCTGCAATATGATGGCAGCTATAAAACATTTCTCTCAATGTCATCAAAACAGGATTTAAAAAAATAAAAAACAGTAGATTACTCACTAACAGTTGTTGAAACTCATCAACTGAAAGTTTAAGGGCAATGATCGTAGAGATTACAAGATCATAGATTGTAAAGATAGTCACTGTTTTAAGCCCCCAGGGACGAAATTGAGACCATATACCAAAACATTGCCAGCAATAGGGCTATAGTACAGTTTTGGTTAGTGTGTGTGTGTGTGTGTGTGTGCCTGTGAGAGAGAGAGAGAGAGAGAGAGACAGAGAGACAGAGAGACAGAGAGACAGAGAGACAGAGAGAGTCGAAGGAAGGGTAAGCTCACCCAAGCAGTCGCCCCCGTCCCAGTCACACTCGGAGGAGTTACAGGCCTTGTCACAGTAGCCGTCCCTGATCCAGGTGGAGGGACAACCGTCGTTGCAGTTAGGCACCGGCCACGTCAGGTACAGCTGTGACATATGAAGGGGTCAAGTAAAAAAACAGGTTAGGTCCATTTTTAAAAAAAGGACAGAGTACGAGCCATTGACTTACAAAAGTACCTGTAAAATATCCCTGTGAAATCAGTCAAGTGACAAACAAGATGAGTACAATTTTAGAAATAAATCAGGGCACTAGTCCTTAACTTTCAAAAATATATGTAGAATATCCCTATGAAATCCCTACCAAGTCATTGATAAACCTTACTCTTATCAAAAATCCAATAAAGTTCCCTGCTTGTAAGGGCCAACTCAGGCTGAGAGGGAGGTATGCAATGTCCCAACAGACAGACAGATACACTCGACAAAAATTCTCCCCATATGGGAACTGAACTCATATCTTCTGCATGTGATGGTGAAGTACCTAATCGCCACACCACAGGCGCCGGTGTGAAGAGTGTAAAGAGGAAAGGGCAAACTTTGAAGTAAGAACAAACCTTATGGCCTGTGGAGTGAGAGTAGAAGTCGTCAGGCCACACGGGCTTCCCAAACAAAACGTCGTCGTTGAGATAGAGGAACTTGTCGGAGAGGCCGGGGATGCGGTGGATGTTGGCCTCGATGGCGGGGGAGCTGAAGGTCGGGAGGTGGCTTGCATTGAGGAAAATCTCCTGAGGGATGGATGAATTATTGAGATAAAATGTAAAAACTTGAGAGATCATAGTAACATTAAGGCAATATCCTGTGTAACGATGTGGTGGAATCAGGCGCTCGTCAATTTTTGGGCATAGTGAGTTATTGATATCATTTTATAGACTATCGGTTTGCCTTGTTTTTGGTGAAAGAATTACCCATCTATCTTAAATACAATTGTATAGATATCTGCGATTAAAGGAGGAAGGGGTTGCCTGGTTTCAGAAGTAAAATTACTGAGAAAAAGGCCACCAAAGTTTGGTCACTTTCATAGCTTAAACGTCCTTGGAAACTGCAAATTTACATTTTTTGTGCTTTTAATCAATGTTTTTCCATAAAACCCACACATAAAAGAGTTTTTGAATGGACATACAAGGTGTTGAGCCATAAAACAAAAATTCGAAAAAAATAGTCCAAACTGGACGAAAAATGCAGATTTCTTGGATTTCTTTAGTTTGACAAGCGCCCGATTTCACCACAATGCTTCATATATTATTTATTAACATGAACTTGACCCTGGTGCAGTTATGAACATAGATCTAAGTGAGTTCCTCTGCTGGCCCATATAACTTTTTTGCAGCATTAATGATGTTGGCCACATTTCATGTCTTGAGGCTCTGTGTGTCCTGCACTGCTGGAAGATGTATGTGTTCCACAGTTTGGAATGCTTCTCAACAGTAATATTTTGGTGACGGTACAGTATTACAAGTGACTGTAGTAGCTTGCGACAAGGTTTTCAAAATGCATAGAAATATGTGCAACAATGCGGTGGAATCAGCGCTTGTCTATTTTTGGGCATATGGAGTTATTGGTTTCATCTTAAAGCTTGCTCAGTGATCTTCAAAGCTGGAGTGTCCATGGAAACTGTAAATTTACAATTTTAGTCCCGATAATCAATGTTTTTCGGGAAAATCCACACAGGAATTTGTTTATAAACGGACATAAAAGGTATTGAGCCAAAAAACAAGAATTCAATAAAAATTGCCAAGCAGGAAGAAAAATGCTGTTTTCTTCTATTTTATTATTTTGACGAGCTCCTGGTTTCACCACGATGCCTCACATATGGACACAGACATGGCCAGCCCCTTTGGCTTAATAGGTACGCTGATAATAAGTGAAAACAAAGACAAGCTGCCCTTCAATCTGTGGCTTTCTCTTTTCTTCACAAAATTAAAAAAGGTAAAAAAAAATAACAGACACTTACGTCATGCGTTATGATGGTCACACGAGGGTTGTCCAGGTTTAACCAGTGTGGGATTTGCCCATTGGTCACAATAAAAATGTGCCGCACCCATGGTGCGAACTTTTCAATAGACCGTAGGGAATAGCGTAATTCCTGGGGAATAAAGAAAGCAATTGTTCTGAGAATCTGTTCATGTAAACATTTGAAAATGTGTCGATGAGTAAGTGAGTGTGAACGTGCTTGAGAGTCAATGCCCATGTACACCGGTGTGTGCGTATGAGTGTGTTTGTGTTTGAGTATGAGTGAGAGTTGGGAGTTTGTGAGTACATGTGTTTATGTGAATGCATGTATGTATGCGTTTGTGTGCGCGCTCATGCATATGACAAGTAAGACTGAGCCAGAAAGTGAATGAGCTGGTAAATGTGGTTGAGTGTGTGCAAATATGAATGTGGGCTCAAATGTGCATATATATCATTATTTGTCTTATCAATCTTCATTAAAAAAAAGAGTTTTTAAAATTTACAACATATATTTCATAATCTTACATCTCTTGTTAACGCAGTCACAAAAACTATTTATAATAAACGTAAGAAGATTTTTAAAATGAACAATATAAAAAAAAATCATCGCACAGAAGCCCCTTAAAACTTGGGAGATCATAGGAGAAGAAAGACAGATTAACACTTTGCATGCAGTCACACAGCCAGCAGTACAAAATACCCCATCGGGTCATCCAGCCAGGAGAATGACTGCAACGGACTGCTCGGGCCTGGCACAGCGCCAGGTGACCAGAACAGATAATTTTCACAGTTGACCGCAAAGTTTTAAAGCCACATTAGATTGCGAGAGAGGACAGCACAACAAGTCTAGAAGATTGGACAGCCATACCTCATTGTCCTCGAACCTGTTTGCAGCTACCACATCATCCCCCACAACCTGCAGGAATATCAAACAGAAAGTTGAGTTATAAACTTGGTCTTAAATCTGCAAATCGATGGTGTTCTGCCCTGTCCGTATATCTGGTTTCTTGAAAATTTTTCAAGATTCAAACAAAACTGTTCTGATTTAAATATTGAAAGAAAGCACAAAAATTAGCCGATTGTACTTTTAAACTATTCAAAATTCGTGTTGACTTTTGATCTTTAGTGAGGTTCCACAGATGGACATAGGCAATGGTTTCAAAACAAATTAGAGTTGATCTATTTCTTTGAGTTAACAGACCACATACCATCGACATGTAACAGAGGAAACAAAAAAAAACCTTGCCCAACAGGACATCACAAATTCACTTTGTTGCAAACCATATCATCTTGCAAGAGCAACAGTTAACCTCCAAGATCAGAAAAAGGCAAGTCATCTATTTCCATAAGAGAGGATGTTCTTTTCTTTCTTGAGATAGTGATGGTGTAATGCTAGAATCAGAATGACTAGACAAATGAACAACATGTACTTTTCCCTTTTTACATTTTACTGATTTTTTTTCTGAGTCTAATTCAAAAGAGCCTTCCATGATCACTTACAAATCGGAGGTCCCACACTAACTTGACAGCCGAGAGCCGCAGTTCTTTGCCTTCTATGGTGAAATTCGAATCCTGTCAAGAAACAAGTGAAAAGAAAGAAAACAAAACATTATCATCATGCATGAAATAGAATAAAGGAATTAAAACTTTATCAGTGCGTCACAGAGTACTGAAGACAAAAATTAGAAACAGAAAAGAAAGAAATTAAGAATCCTTTCAAAAGTAAGGATAGGGCTCTCACCTTAACAAGCATATCAAAGTGAGCTTTCTGAGTAGTGTGAAGCAGTGCCACGCCTTTCTCTGCATGCATTTTTACCTGCAATACAACAACAATGATAATATAACATTAATAATAATAATGACAACAACAACATTCGTAGCAATGATGATGATAATAATAATCTACTAATATCTTTTACGACAATTATCAATGTTAAGAGTACTACTTCTAATCTAACAATTACCCAAATAATGATAAAAACATAACAAAAATTATAAAAATAATAATCAATCACATTTACATACTGAATTTCCACTCTGCAAAAAAAAAAAGAAAAAAAAAAGACATAAACGGACACAATTATCAATAGCAAATCTACAAACTGACATGGTCCCTCTCTCTCACCTGCATGGATTTATGAACAGGCCCAGACAAACTTGTAATGTCTCAATAATCTTCTAAAGCTTGTTAACAAGTCACCATCAATACCAGTTCTTTTTTCAATCTGACTCCAAAAGAACCACAGACTTTCTGAGTAACCCTGTTTGAAGTTTCAGTATTTGAAAAGGCATGAAGAGGAAACGAGACAGAAAGAAGAGAAAGTAAAAGAGGATGGGCTGGGAGAGGAGAAAAAGGAAAGGTGAGAGGAGGAAGTGACAAATGATGACAGAGGAGAAGGAAACGAGGGAAACTTTCAGAACTTTCTCCACCACAAACAAAGCCTTTCACTGACCGTGATGTCAGAGGAACTCTTGTCCGTCACATTGAGCCGCACTAGGACAGCTGCCAGGATGGACGTCTCATCGTACTGGCTCGGGTAGCCAGATATCATGACTGTCTCCGGCATAATAAGGCCGTGCGGTAAAGTTGTGTCGCTCGTCTGCAGATAAACCACAACAAATCTTTGTTTTTGTGTCTTGAAAACTTTCTGCTTTTTCCCCCACAATCTCTCTGCCATTTCAGTTAGGCGGTTTCACTTTTTTTCAGTAACTAAAACATGTTACTATGGCAGTTTAGTTTTAGTAAGAGTTTTACAGCACTTGCAACACAATAAGGTCATATAAGTGCCGAAGATTAGATGTGTTATATGAGAGTAACAAACATAAAAAAGAAGGAAGAGAGATCAGGACGATAGATGTTTGATAGGAAAGAAGGAGCAAACCACACCAGAGCACCCGCCAACCACCCACTTACCATGACAATTTGTTTATTTATTAGAGTAAAGGGAAGAACATGAACACAAAAAAGTCATTTAGTTCTGGGAAAAAGTAAGATGGACAGAAGTGGACAACAGAGGGAAAGTCCAAAATGTAGGACGTACCTGTGGCATCCTCAAACCACACATTAAAATTCTTTGTTATTGTTAAAAACTCCCCCCCCCCCCCTCCGGATCTCACTGTGGTTTTGGTCAGCTGCTCTCATTTTTTCCCTCCACCATGAGTCTGTTATCACATCCATGTACCTCTCATAGACCCAGCAAACAAGATAAAGGAGAGAAAAAAGTACAAGGAATTAAGTAAAACCAGTCCAAGATGATCACATACTGAAATGGGACAAAAGTGATCATCTTAGACAGATAGTCCTCTTGAGCACAACATCATTATAATACTGAGAAAAAAAAACTATCAAGGGAGAAAGTAGGTTTAGTTTAAGTAGAGGTTTTACGGCGCTCGCAACTGCATAAGGTCATATGAGCGACAGAAGATCAGAGGTGTTACAAGAGAGTAACAAACATAAAAAAGAAGAGGGGAGATAAGGATGATAGATGTTTGATGGGAAAGAAGAAGCAAACCACACCAGAGCACCCCCCAACCACCCACAGAAAGTAGGAAGTGGCCATTTGTTCAAGTGTTTTGGACAGGTGACCCTTAGAGAAGGTTTGATTTTAGAACTACAAACTGAGTGAAGACCTTGTAGACAGTTTTTCTGCTTCAAGTTACTTACAAAGCACAATAAGAGGGCAGAGAGCGACAAGACTACTCACGTAAAAAGCTGGTTTAACAGTATAGTTCTTTCCCTCATACATCCATCCTTCCGACTTCTGAGACAATATGTTGCGTACTGAAACAGAAAGCAGAACATATCAGATGTTGGCCAAATGTAACATACATAAATGACTTAAAGTAAGGTATAAACTTCAATAGGTCTTCATGCTTCACAGAGATCACAGCCAGCTGTTTCCTGACAATGCAATAACTCCATTGTGACGACCCTGGAACTGTGCACAAAGTCAAATGCATTTGAAAAAAAAAATGGGATGGGGGAGACTTTACTTTTACTCATAAATGGTACAGAGGCATCTGGACAAATTAAAATTACAGGAAAAGATATTGTCTCTTGAGCTAAGTCCATTTTTTAAAATTTTGACGTAAATCACTTTGAAGGCACGGAATTCCAGTATTCCTCCCCCCTACAATCCTTCTTTATGACCATCCCTCCACTCCACCTCCTCTCCCCCCCCCCCACCTACCCTCCGGAGTCCCTGGCAACATCATCAAGGTATAGTTGGCGGGAACATCTGGACCATCGTTGTCTCCAAGGTGACGTAACTCTGTCACATTCGTAAACAGAACGTCCGCCGCACGCACGATGTCAAGGTCGGCGGTGCGTGGAAGACCTGGCTTCAACAGGAGCCCAATGGGTAGACAGTTCGTATACGTACACGTCTCCTCTCTGTGAACGATACTCGACATTTGAGTTTTGATAAAGGGAAGTGCAGTGATACAATGACGGTCACCCAGTGCAGGGAAAAATAAGACAGACACACAGAAACATTAGAGAGAGAGAGAGAAAACAAGCAGGGCCTACCAGTGGCATCCTCCAACCCACAAAACATTTTGACAGTGACACCCTTCTTAATCAATCAGTAAAAGTAAATTTTAGTGACAAAGTTTGGTTACAGTTTATGCAAAAAAAGGAAATAAATGGTCACATTTTGTTAGGAACAAATAAGCAGTTAAAAGTTAAATGCTTGACAATAGTTTTGTTTATCCATTGACCACTGATCCATTCTCTCTGACGACCAACCTATTACCTCTCTTGAGGGGGGGGCGGGGCAGCAGAGCAGATGCCTGCAAGATATTTAAATTCATTCACATATTTATTTAAATCCCTGTCAAATGCCAAGTACCTATTCAAAGAGGGATAATCGATGAAATTGAGGTAAAGTATTTTCCCCTACGAGGAAGCCTTACTGCGTCTTCTTCATGACCAACAGAAAAAAAGTATTATCTGTGTGTCTTTAAAAAGATCCCACAACTATTTCTCAGTACTTATTCAATTTTTTAAGCTGACAATCTGTACAGCCTCTAAAGTTTTGGTTCTGGACTCAAGCATGAAGGCGGGTTGGAGTGCTTTATTGTCAGTGTGTATTTTTATGGACGGTACAGGTATTTGTAAGTGTGTGCTCGTACATGTGCAAATCTATGTGCCAGTATAAAGCGACTGTGATTAGACATTCTATATGCCATTCTCCTTCTGTTCGATAAAAAGGGAGGAGAGTCTTTAAGATATGTTTTCAAAGTTACCTAGATAAGCAAGAACACTTCCGTTTTGTGCTATTTTTTCTCTACCAGTGGAGTTGGGAGAGAGTTCTCAACATCCATTAGAGCTGGGCGAAGACTCGATTCCGGAACCGATCCCCACGATGAATGCTATGGGAGAAAAGTTCCGACTCCTTTTTACGTAAACCAACGGTTACCAGTCCATTCAATGATAAAAATCATCTTCTTTAAAAAAAGAAATTGTTTTCGAAAAATGAAAGTTGATGCCTCGAAGTGTTCCGAAATTAAGGTTATCTTAAATCTTGTAGATGTTCGGAGCCAACCAGATAACCACAGGAAGAAATCACTTTATTAGAAAGTAAGTAATTGGTTCGGAGTCGATTCCTACGATTCCTCCTAGCTTTCAATAATCGGGAACCTAGCCGCCCAGCCCTATCATCCATCATTTCAATGTTTTGTTATTTGGCAGTCATGCACTGTTATTTATCCTAAGTTCATTTCACAAGAGACCCCAGGCAACCTCTGTTCTTTACCCTTTGTATACATAAACGAGTCTCTTTAGTTTAAATGTTTCATGAGAAGAGAAAAAAGCGAAAATGGCAAATAGAAGCAAAAGAAAAAATACCCCAACCAATAGGCTTTAAAGAGAGATTGATACATTCTACAGGATTTTTTTTTCTTATTTCCTTTCTTCTTTGTTATATCTGTAGGATGATGATTAACTGTAGGATCCTTGGCAAATAAAGCACCTGGGTACTCAAAGAATGACTTAATACAAGACCTGGATAAGAGACTTTTAGCTTTCAAAAAGGTCATAACACATTTTTTAATAAGTAGAGTAAGCTAACTCTGATTATCAAAATTTGAGCTCTTGAAAGTTTCTTCAAATTTTGGTTTGGAATTAATTTAGATTTTCACATTGGCAGTCCACACCAACAAGCAGACAATTTTTTCAACTTTCATAAGCTGAATCCACGCTGCATGGTAACTTAAACGAATCTAACAAACTCATGAGACCACCGTATTTTTTACTTTTTTTTTTTCCCAAAGACATCCGAACTGAATCTCATCTACCCTGGGTTGAGAGGGTTGAAAAAACCTTAGATAAAGTCCCAAAATTATTCACAGAAGAAGCATGAATCAATTTGATAATTCAGCTGAAGCATAGTAAAATAGTGAAAAGACTTGCTGAAAAATCCAAGAAATTGAGCAATTTTAGAAGCAGGAAGTGAACAAGTATAAAGGAATGCATGGTGACAAGAAAATGAAACTTTGCAAATAGAAAAAGGAAAATGGGCCCTTGCGAAGCACAAAGATTAAAAGGTAAGAAACATAAGAGAAAAATCAGATATATTTTACTTAAACCTAAGAGGAGTTGCAGACATTAATATTTCATCTTTTTCCAAAACATGAGAAAAAAATAAAAACCTAAGCTAATAACGATTCACTTTATTTTCATTACCAGATATCGTTAAGATTTTAAAAATTATCAATTACAAAATAAGTGTCATTTAGTGATGGGGAAAAAAAAGCAAGACAGACAGACAGAAAAAAAACAGGCAAAAAAAAAGAAGTCGGACCTCTAACCACCTACAAAAGTTTTGACGAATTCTAAAAATCTAACGAATGAAAATCTGCCTTTAACATAAAAACTTACAAAGCATTAATTAAAGTAAGCCAATGTAGACTTTTACAATAATAGAAAGCCACAATCACGTTCGGTAAGACATACACATGCCGACAGGGAAGTACTAGAAATCATTTCCAACTGTCAATATGGCTACACATGGCCTGCTGGGACCATAAATTCTCTCAAACACAGATGTGCACACACTTACACACTTTGAATCAAATAATTCAAAAGAACTATAATAAAAAAGCATTAAAGCTGCACATTTCCATTTTCTAGAAAAATGCTCAATCCGCATTTCATAAAAATAATTTTCAACTTGAAACATTTCTTTCCGTCTGAATATCACCCACATATCCATCCATCACTCTCTTTCTCTCTCTATCCCCAACACATACAAACACTTTCAAAACAAAATCAACTTTCTCCACCAACATCTGCGTCATCTTCTGTTTCTTTCTCGTCTTAGGTTTTTCCCCCTCTTCATCCTCCTCCTTCTCTTTTACTCATTTTTTTCTTCTTCTTTCTTCTCTTCATCTTCTTCCTCTCCTCCACACACTCATTACAAATGATTTTAAACAGTGCAGAAAGAAAACCTTTTCCTCCTCCCATTCTTTGTTTATATCCTCCACCGTCTCATTAGCCTTGAAACCCATCCTATATAAAGGCTGTGAGTCGGACAGAGAAACCGTGCACAGGTATACTAGGACACACAAATTGTGGGCAGGACATGAGACTATCATATCTTGAGAGACGACATTTTTTAACTTAAAGGATGTTGAGTCGAAACAATGAGCCTTTAGTTATATAATTGGATCAGAAATGCTCTGTTCAAGAAGTTTTGCAAAACTGTAGACGAGAACAGCTTTTTCTTTTTCTGAAAGGTTGCATTTTTGAAATACCATACTTTGGTTGCCTACCCTCAGTATACGGAACAAGAAAGCTACACATAACATACATGCATACAGGGCACTTGACAGTTTACATGAAGGACGACAGCAGCTGTGATATTATTGATAGGCTCTTCACCTTTCATGCAAAAGAAGTGAGTTTGATTCTCACGTGAGAAAAAGTCTTAAAGAGTATCTCTGTCTTTTTGATGGGATATACCCATGCAGCCCGGGTCAGCCCTGACGGGCAGGGTCAAAGCAGCCTGCCTCCTAAATAATCTAAATTGCATCAATTGGGTGGTAAAACATGGCATGAACATATTTCAAAGGTTTGAAAATAGAGAGAAGAAATAAAACGAAAGCAATAGAATTTGCCTGTTTTGGTAAGAAGTAAATGCTGTAAAATATACTGTCATAGTGTTACTAAATTGCGTCATGTTAAAAACACATACTATAATTCTCAATCTCATTCTCAAGCAAAATTTTGAAGTCATAACACTCAGTGAACACAAAATTGCATCACGAGAAGGCCATTTTAGAACATTCTTAAAAGAAATTATACAAATAAAAAATATGTCCAGCCCACATCACTAAAAATGTATACCTTTACTGCTATACTAATTGTTAGTAATCCCTTGTCTTATTCTAATTGATTTACTGCAACATATCATCATGCGACATGACAGAACACCATAACATTTACAATGTAACACATGACTGGTCTAAAGACAGCACAACTCATGCATTTAGAGAGTCAAGCACATTCTTTCCCTTATGACGCTAAGATTATTGTTATATTAGAGAAAAGAAAAACAACACCATGTAAACTCGTCCCCATCTGTTAAGCTTCTTACATAAAATTAGTAATATTTATGAACATCAATCCACATTTTGAAAGTCCACAGAATCATGCTACATTGACGGCTTGATTTTGACACTAGTATAATAAAGAGATGGTTAACTTTTTCTGAATATATCTCCAACAAATCAGTAACAACACATGTCATTTCAGACTCACACCAATTAAACTATGACCACAAATAGTTAATTCCAGACAAAACAGCCATGCACCATAAAACAAGTAAACAAAGTGCTAGCGTTCACATTTTATTCCCATAACCAAATATTTCTAGACTGAAATTTCCAATGCCAAAGAGAGGCACAGGAGTACTCTTGACTCTCAAAAATAGCAAAACTTCCCTGGCACACAAAATGCAACATACAGCAGCTTGCGTCTGGACAAGAGAGGGATATGGAAGGTGGGGGGGTGTGTGTCTCACCTGTATTCCGACCCTTGACCTCTAAGAAAAGTAGTTCATGTCAGCTTCACACACAAGTCATAGACATGTAAGCTTTACACAAAAGTCATAGACATGTAAGCTTCACACATAAGTCAAAGACAGGTAAGCTTCACACATAAGTCAAAGACATGTAAGCTTCACACACAAGTCATAGACATGTAAGCTTCACACATAAGTCATAGACATGTAAGCTTCACACATAAATCATAAACATGTCAGCTTCACACATAAGTCATAGACATGTCAGCTTCACACATAAGTCATAGACATGTCAGCTTCACGCATAAGTCATAAACATGTAAGCTTTACATAGATCATCAGTCATGGTAGTACACAGTGTGCACTTAAGTGATCCCCTCCTCTGTTCAGCACCGTCTGCAAAACTGCAGTGACTATTCCTATTCCGGTATGTCTTACTTAACCCTTTGAGCCCCTGGCATAAAACTGCCCATATCCCTCGCCACCGGTACTGCAGTGAGCAAGACCCCATCTCCAACCTGACCCGCCTGAGATAAAACGCGTACGGAAAACAGTGTTTACTACACAAGGCGTTATTGATTATTTCGAAAATATTTCTGCATTAGATGCTGGTAATGACGAGGACTACCCTGAGTGGGATACAGAATGTGATTCTGATGATCATATGAATGTGAGTCATATATCGCTCAGGAGCTCAGGCAGACGGGCACGGTAGCCTCAGGAGGTCAGGGCTCAAAGCATTAAACTGATGCCATTTTGGAACAAACTCATCCGATCATCGTAAATCAGATGAGTCTGTTTTTCCTCGGCTACAATCATATTTAATTGGAGGCGATAGCCAATCAAAAGGAAACTGGAATTTAGGAGTGCAGCGGCACTCTGTCAAAAGATAAAAGTGAGCCAGAATCAGTCTCACTGTTCAGATCCACAATACAATAATCATAACTGATAACCAGCTGTAGGCTCTTAAAGCTATAATTGAACGCAGTCGATTTAGTGTTTTATGTTATGAACCTTGACGGCTGTAGTCACTGACCTCTGTTCGACACTCATAAGGTCAAATGGAGGTCAGATTGAAAGAGTAGGAACTTGCCTGCCTAAGTTCCCAACCTGACCCAATGTAATGAAGTAAACCCCACATGTACAATAAGTGTACAGTGCTTTATTTAGCACAATTTCAAAACATTCTGGCAATATCTTTTCTTTCTCATTTGTCTATTCAACAGTTTATCTCATTATATTAAAAAGAAGAAGTAAAAAAAATGGTGAGGTAAAGAAAAGAATCAAAGAAGAAAATTAGATTTACACTGTAAGACATCTTGAACTCTAGATAAGAGCAATCAGAACACTGAAAAAGATGTAGAAAGAGCAGACCACATGGTATGTGGCGTAAAAGACAAACATACACACTCAAAGACACAGCATCAAACACAAATTGGTGAAAAGATGTGCAGAAAAGAGTAGACAGGAGGCCTTGTGAATACAATCAAGCAATGTTCGGCCATTTAAAATTTAATTGGGTGGTCATGATGATATGTCTTTTGGCAAAACATGTTCACTCACACTCTCAAGGAGTGCTTCATAGCGGTACAACCAATGATGGTTCAAGAAATCTTTGAAATAAATCTTATTACATGAGCCGTTTTGTTATGAATCAGATAGAAACATCTGAATGCACACACAGTTTTAGTAAAAATGTCCCTAAAAGAATGAATAAATAAATATTATCCTTCTCTTCTGTTTCGCAAGCCTACTAACTTTTGTAGATGAATTGGCTAACCTTTCCATTCTATTTTATTCCATAGGCTTACTCTGCTACACTCGCAGAAAAATAAACCAAACTTTTCTCTCTGATCTATTTTACGACCCACCCTATCTTCTTCCAGCTCACCTGGTCAGGTTTTGTTTCTGTTCCATGGCAACTCGCACATGCTCCAGCTGCTGCATGACCTCTGGGTCGCTGCCATTGACCCACGTGTAGACCACGTCAATAGGCACTGGGAGAGACAGTCTGCAGATTGTGTCGGCACAGTAAAATTGTTGATGCTTGTAAGTTGTCGCGAAAGTTTTATCATCTCCCCTCTCCCCCCCCCCCCCCCCCCCACATATATAATGACCAATCAATAACTAACCTCTTGCCAAAACATCCACCGTGACACTAAAGTCTACCACATTTACATTCTGAGCAATCTTTTACATACTGCCATCACCCCCCCCCCCCCCCCCGAAAAAAGAAAGAAAAGTAAAACACACCCATTTGCAAGTCACATGTCTAGTTTTATTTTGGATTTTAAAAATGCCTCCCCTTCCACCAGCTCTTTCTTATACTCTTTTCCCCTCCTCTAAAAAAAAATCTCTCTCTCTCACACCACATACACAGAGGCCTATCTATATAAATATATGTCAATTTGTCAGAAGACCCATCTCCTTCACGATTCATTGTTTATGAGGAGATAACAAGCAATAAAAAATTTCATGAAAATCAAAAGACATAGCTTGTACACTTTCGTCTGACTGCATTAAAAAAATTCTCTAGCTCCTTCATTAATTTACGAATGCTCACGAAACTTTGTATGGCGCTTCTGCAGGCCGGCGACCAAACAAAAATACATATTAAAAAAAAATATTGATCAAATAATAAAAAAGTTTTCCTCTTTGGGCCCTATATTAAAAACCACTTTTTGAATGCACACACAGGATCACTTAAATAAATCACTTACAGTAACCTTGCCTACAATGCAATTGCTCATTTTGAGACAGCGGCACCACCCTGCCCCCATTTTTCAGTGAAAGCTTTGGTTCTCACTCCCCCAGCTGTCTAGATGTCTCCACATGCTCCACGTGAATCTTGAAAATTACCCATCCCGTCCCTTAAATTGTGTTTCTATAGTGAACGTTAAAGTGAGTTGTTGAGGAAAATATGTCAACTTTTCAAATGTTTTAGCAGCAAGCTGTAAATCCCCTATAATTTTATTTACTTGATTTAGGCTTACATCAAAGAAAACATGTTGGAATCTTAGTTTGCAGTGACATTTATGAAAGGGTTTTTAGATTCTGTTGGTCATCCAAATTTTAGACCCGTAGGCAAAGATCTGAGAAGATTAAACAGAGTGATTTCATTTTATCCTGTTTTAACAATGGTCAGACAAAGTGAACAAGCTATGACTCTCAGTATATATGGAGGGCTATTCCACATTTATATCGTCCCCAGTCAGTTTTGTAATCTAATCTTTCAACATCACAAATTTCCCAAAAACTAAATAACAACTCCACTTCTTTTTTTAAATCAATGTAAGTGCACACATATTAAGAAAAGACTAAACATAAAGATGCAAACACAAAAACACAACCCCCATTGAAGCAAAATTTGTATCTCTATCTGTTCCCCTCTACCAACTCGTCTTGGCCCAGTAGTTTGGGTACTAAAACTGACAAAGTCATCACCATAGTATGAGACTTCATGCAAACTTTTGGAACCTTCGGTGACACAGTAAAGATGACTCCACCAGGGAGCGGGACAGAGGGTGCCCACCTCGTGACTCGAAAGAGCTGAGGAATGTAGGACTAACATAATCTAAACAATTAACTACTAACCAGTTGTGGTAGCCATCTCCAGTTGGGGCTATGGCAACACTTAGATGTGTAACTTACCAATAAATGTTATAAGAGTGAAGAAACATATATTTATTTATTTAATAATTTATTTATTTATGTAAAACAATCTCCTGTGCGTTTACTTTAAGACTAACAGCTATTTTCAAAATCCAAAACGCTGCAAAGTTTGTTGTTATTACTAAACACAAAAGTACCAGATGATAGAATTGGGCAGGGTAAAAAAAAGCCAAACAACTCCATTCTTTTCTACCTATTGGCATTTAAATAAATACTTCACTGAAATTCAGAAATGAACGATCAATACAATAAACATAAGATTTAAACAAAGACTAGCTGGGTTCTCCTCGATTTTCATTATGACTGAAAACTGCTGAGTGATGCCACGCGCTACTTCAACTGTCGCACTGGACAAATGGTACTAGGAGAATGCTAGAAGAATTGCTGTACTCTGAAAACTAAAAATTACACTGACCTTTCCCGAAAAGATTTGCCAGCTACGTTGTCACTAAAAGAATTAAAAACAGTTGCATATTTCTCCTGACTCCACTCCAACCAAGCCTGTGAAAGAAAAGAAATTGACAGTAATCACTTGAAACTTGCAAAAAACTAATGATCACAGGCATGGGGCTGGAAGATAAATTGTTCGCAAAGTCCAAATAAAACACATTTCTGAGAGCAATAAGGTTTCATTTTTTCAAAAACAGTAAATTACCATGTACACAGATGTTATTTCATAAATTCTTCAATAAAATGGAAAGTTGCAATCATCTAACCTTGAGGTAGGCAAACACATAATTTTGTTTCAGACCAAATAAAATCTACAAGACACACACATGTTAAAGTTGATTTGAAAGTTACTTTCCCTTGGCTTAAAAAACCCCACAGGTGAATAGAGTGATTATAATGATGTGGTCCTCAGGTTTAATATCTAAATTGTCAAATACACAGGCGATAAATTACTGATAACTTCATTTTTTTTTTTAGCAAAACATTGGACGCTTTACCATGTGATTTATTGCAATGAATAACATTTTCAGTGAACTCACCATCAAATAAAGGCATGATAAAAAGTCTTACAAAAAAGCTAAGAAAAAAAAAAAACAGACAGAAGAGAACAATATTAGTCTATTGTCACAATAACCTGTCTCTTGTTAGAAAAAAAAAAGGAGAGGTGACCAAAAAAAAAAAAAGGGGGGGGGGGGGGGGGAATAAAAACCTCTGTCCCTGACAAGTCAAGAAATCAAGCATTATAACATATAATTTTATAGCAAGCCAGTTTCTGTCTATAATTGATGGATAGGTTGAACTGTGATACTCTTTCAAACAAAAATAGTTTTCAGGCTGATGATTTATTTAGTCTTGAAATGGCTTGTGGAATATCTCTTATTTCAGGCCAGTATCTGTCTACTGTCAGGTTCTTCAGACATTATATATAGATCTCTTTGCCAACACTAGAAATTCATGAGACATCTATAGGCCTACATAATTTGTGCGCAGGCTGTGTTGAAGGCTCAGAGTTTTTAAAAGTATAAAATAAGAACAAGATTCATCCATGCCATAAAAAATGTAGGCATATAAATATAAAATGCAGACAGATTCATTACTTCAATTTAAAATCTACATTTACTCAGGAAGTCTTTTGAATACGAATAGCTCAGTTGGTATTGTGTTGGATTACAGAGTGTGTGGCTCTGGTTCAAATCTCCAATGACTTATTTTACAGGGCAATCTGAAGTAGGATTATTTTGGGGAGTTTTTAGGACTCCCTATATCTGTCTCATCGGAGGTGGACATTAAATTTAAAAGTCCTGCCTCTTAAAATCAAATAACCTTGTCTTGACAGTTACACTTAAAGAACATTTTAAGTAAAATCTAAGCGACATTTGCTATAGATAGCTTATATTGTAGAGTTTGGGCACAATGTGTGTTGTCTAAGGTTTGTGTGTCGAGTTCAGACCCATTTTTTCCCCCGGCTCACGGCAAGCCAGGTGGACACAAGTGCACTGCCCATGGCCACGCCGGGTGAACAGGGTTTAGACAAATTGATCAAAACTGTTGTGCAAAGTATGGGAGACATTGGTTCACCTGTAAAAGACAAAGAGATATTTGAGGATAGGTGGTGCCACAAATTTCTGACAGCACTCTATAGATAATCTAGATCTGCCTTGTCTTAAGTCTACAAGCGGACAGCTAGAGAACGACAACTAAACGCCATTGGCTGATAATTATTGAGGAATTCCCATTTTGTCAGTCATGGTGGCAACACGACCGCACGACAGCAGCCTGCCGACTCGGGTTATTTTCTTTGCAACTTGCAGAACTGTTCGGTTCAGTTGTCTGCGATCGTGCAGCACCCTTTTTCAGCCCAGATTGATTCTGATGCTGTACACTACGTAAACTGAGAAGAATAAAAAGACTAAGAGTAGGCCTACGGAAGAAAGCAAGTTCAAACAAAGTTCAGAATTCCGATCGTTTCTTTTAAAGTTTTCTAAGTACAAGAAATTGTAGCACTTACAAGAGATTGGACTCAATAGGACGCTGAGCTGCAAATGGAATAGATTTTCGGATCTGTATTACATCTAATTCGAGACTGCAAGGTTTGCAAATGGACACTGTGAGGTGCAGGACTAGGGGGAACCACTAGGAAACAATGCAATTTAAAGCAGAACCAACGACCCATCTTCCTGATTGGCTGCTAATTTTAGTAATGTGATGTCATCACTTCCATCCTGGGATACCCACAGACTATTTTAAGAACAAGGCCTTGGAAGTACCGCATGGAATGACGTGTTTTTGGTGTATATGTTAATATAACATTGCAGAATTCCTAGCTCTAGTACTTGGACATGATGGAAGATTGCTTAGATCGTTGATGCTTAGAAAAGTAAGAACGCTGATGCTCGAAATTGAAACACGGTAAATGCAAAGACAATAAACCGCACGAAAACAACCGTTAAGACGTCGAAGGATTACCCCCCCCCCCTCCTGCATGCTTCATCACTAAAAAATACATTTACTACAAATCAACAAATTATAATTTAGGGACCAGTTGGTCAGTCGGGAGGAGGAGAAGAAAGAGAAAAAAAAACCCTTCTGGGACCCGGCCGGATTCAATCCCACGCTCATAAAATAATTGTATGACTTCAAACGCAGACACGCTGTCCATTCGGCCATCAGAATTTCCTACAGAGAGAGGTTTAAAAGCTTGATAGGAGCCATTGCCAAAACGTGGGGAAAAACACACACATCTCACATTAGTGTGCATAAAATGTGATGCATTAGTATTTATTCCTCCAAAACGTATACACACGTCAAATATAGGATGTAGAACCTGCATTAGCAGTTTCAGACCCCTAGTCAGCTTTACAATCTTGAGTTTGTAAATTTTGTGCCAAAAATATTCGTTTTTTAGTGATTCCTGGAGTGTCATTTTGAGCACACCAATGCAAACTTCCAAGAATGTCCAAAATTTAGTATTTTTGGGTGTGGTTTTTTTACGTGTGCTTTGATCCTATGTTATTTGTCATTGAGAAAGGTTAACTTGCTCAAGAAATCGGTTTATTTGTTTGCAAATAGACGAACAATTCGGATTACTTGTGCGTCTGTCGTGTCGTCACGGACTAGGTGTTTCAGAAAACACCATTATTTTTCAGTAGAATCACCGTAGCTGGTTAAATCTCTTTGCCTATCGTCGTTTATTCAATACTTCAAAAGCCGCGATGCGCGAAAGGAACATCGGGTTCCTAGATCTACGATTTCGGTCGGCTGTTTAACATTCGCCGTTATTGTCGTCAATTTGCGACGTGCCGGAAGTCCGAATTTCGCCCACTTTTGTTTTGAACGGGTCATCAAAAGTGCCCGGATATAATTGTTTTCTTGAGTGACTTCCCCTTACCCGCGTCCCCAGAACAACGGAAGCAACGGGGGAAACAGAAAAACGAAAGTAGTCATTGCCTTCAGTGTCCGGTGACGCACAAGAATTTTGCGTTGAATGTGACGTACTGGGCTGTTTTGCGTGTTTTTAGGCTACTCTGTTGTATATTTTAATGAAATTGCGGTGTTTACACTGGATTCCTGGAACAAGAGTGTGATATGTGAACAAACTTCGAGAGATGGGTCATTTCTGTGGTTATAGATTTAGCTTTTGTGCTCAGTGATGACGTTTGGGGTGTCGTCATGCAGCCGTACAAGACTGACTAACGTACAAGAAATTACATTGTCCTAAGAGCAAACATTTTTAAAGTAATGTGTGCTCTCTTTACTCAAACAAATAAACAAACATGTCCTTGTTTATCTGTCTAACTCAAAAATACACATTTGTTCTTTGTTGGTATGATATACCTTTTTCCAATACATTGTGTCATCATTGTTATGTACAAGTAATATTTTTCATAATTGCTAATATCAATAAGTTTTCAACATATATTTCATACATGCAAGATTCATTTAGAAGCAAAATACGCCTTTATTGATCTGTGTATCTCTTAGTGCAAATTTGTTCTTTGTAGGCATGATTTTACCTTTTCCCAGTATGTTTTGTCATCACTGTTATGTACGAGTACTGTTTGTCATAATTAGCCACATAATTGTGATCGTCCACTGTCTTTGATATGACCTGGTATCTGTTTCAAAGCAAAAGAAATCTCTCCTGGGTTTTTTTTATTTCTTAAAGTGCGCTTTTATCTCTGGAGGCAAGACTTTTGTCTTTTCCTGTACATTGTGTCATCATTGTTATGTACAAGTCATGTTTGTCATCACTGTTATGTACAAGTCAACTCCATTGATTTTGTGCTTTTGCCTCATATTAATTAAAAAATTGTTTTACACATGTGTTTTTCTGGTACTGAGGCTTTGATAACTGTATTTGTACAGCCTTTCACTATTGTGATGTGTTGTCAATGATAATGTCCAATGTGTATCCTTTCTTGTACATAACAATGATGACATATTCTGTGCACTGCGTCATTGTTACAAAGCTTGCCATTCATATTACCATTATGAATGGAGTTCATAGTGTACAAAGTGTTTGTTTACTAAACAAATGGAATTTAAAGTCCATAATTTGCCTTGCTGCTTATCTGTTTTTGTCATCACTGTTACATACAAGACAAGAAATACAGTAGTTGCCAAACCAATAGACCCATATCTCCAAAACCGTACATCTCCTTGCTCTGATACTCTAGGAATATGAGCACTAAATGTCAGTCTGTGACTGACAGAAAAGAGAGTCAAATTGGTAAGAAATTTTTTTTTGCACCACTGAGTCTCAAGAGAGTCTCACGTTTTGGCAATTGCTCATAGATCTATATATAATAATGATAGACACTTTTTGGCTATATTTTGATGAAGTCACGTGATCTGAGAGGTCAGTCTCCCGACAAACAAGATGGCCATCTTAACTTAAAATAGTTCGCGTTGTTCTACATTTAATCGCATGTCTAGGAAACACTCAAAGAGGGAAGCTTGGAAACTGCCAGTGCAAACCGTGCGCTACGCAAAATCATCACAAAAGTCTAGATTTATGCCTAGATCTATAGAATCACGGTCAGATGACGAGGCGGGCATCCCCCTTGCAAGGTCAAACAAGATTACTGTTACTATGAAGAAAGTGGCTATTCTCACCCGCCCGGAAGTTCTCGCAAGATCTACTCCTCCCTTCTTCTCTCTCTCTCTGTCTCTTTCTGAATATACTGTCTATCGGTGTGGACGATCAAATTGACCAAAACAAAGTTAAAAAATGATGTTAAAACACAAAAGTAAATTAATTTGGTTGTCTACAAAGATGCTACGGCTATTTAACTTTTCGAATCGAGCCGAACTACGCGGGTCGCCATTTTGTTTTGTTCTCTCTCTCCACTGCCCACAGACAAAATTGTACGCTTTTAGTAGGCTACAAATACAGTGGTAATGGAACGTTTGTTCACAGCACAGAATTCTACAATTTTTCTGTTATCACAGTGTAGAATTCTGTGGTTTAGGGTGAACGCAAAATTTGTTGGCCTAGATCTAGGCTATAACGGTGAACACGCACCGGGTGAGAATAGCCAAAAGACTCGCCTGCACTATTCTCACCCCGGGTGAGAATAGAGGTGGCCTACTATAAATAGGCCTATTACTATTGGCCAATGGCGTTTAGATCTAGATCTAGATCTAGAATCTGGTCTAGATTCAGTCAATTAGTTACGTTGTTCTCTAACTATTCGCTTGTCTTAGTACTCTTAGGCTTAGCACGGGCAATAATACCTCGCCAAAGTGGAAGGCTGATATGGCGAGGAGAAAGCATCCACCCAAGACCATAAGAATTCCATACTTGTGGGACAACAAATCATAAATTCGCTTCTGGAACATCTTTTTGAATGTCCCTTCCATTTTCCTTTCCATTATTATTCTGATACACTGACACTGATCATCCGCCGAATCGGCGATTGCCGATTGTGATTGAACTGAAACGTTTCAATCTCTCTTCTAGAGACTTTCAAGACGATACACATCAAACTTATATGAGACAACAGCTGTGCATCATTTCTGAGGCCAAAACAGATGATCATTCATTGTTGTAATATCAGTGTTCGAAATATGTTTGTCATGTGATTTGTTTTGTTTAGCGTTGGTAGCCGATGCAGATATTGTACACTGCTGCAATGGGCGTCGCCATCTTGAAAATGATGCAGGGTGGGATTGAAAACTCGTGGCGATTGTTTACACCGGAAGTTGACTTCAGAGTTTACTTTCATTTTGACTCACACACCAATTGACTGCAATTACAACTCGAGCACACAAATAAAACGAGTAAGTAGTGATATTGTCTGTCGTCATCAGTTTTGCTTGTTTTTAAGAAATTGTAGATCTTGTTGAAATACAAAATTAGAAGAATCTAATCTAGATTCTAGATCTAGATATTGATTTTGAGCATTCTAGATTCTAGATCAACGACAACCTTTGGACATCAAATTGACTTGACTCTGAGTTCAGTCCTTGATGAGGGCTGATTTCCTACGTGTGTGTTCGACTTACTCATACTCATAGATCTAGGCCTTCACTGTCACTACACTAGATCTTTATGAATCTCCCTTTGCATGACTGTTTTACTGTTCAGAACAAGGAGTCGAACAGTTATAGAAAAAGCCTTCTTAGGTCTTGTAGGGGGCTCTCGTGGCCTAGAGGTTAAGCCTTAAGTTAAGGTGTTCACCTCTCATTCAAATGTCCCGAGTTCGAATCCGGGTATTGACGGACAAATTTTCTTCTATAAAATTGTCTCCTTTCATCTCCTTTCCTGTTCTCTAGAATCTAGCAATGTTCTGTCGTCTGCTTTGGTCTCCACTTTCTGCCCCGACCCCCTCACATCCCTTGCCCCCTCCTCTGGCTGACTTCTTCTAGCCTTTCTACTGCTACTCTTTGGCTCCTTTTTACTCCTGTCTTTCAGCCACACCTCTCATCTTCTGTTAGGAAAGAGATCTATGCCTAGCCTTTTTGGACAAGGGCGGAAAATCTTGGATGTTCTGTGTGCAAGTTGCGCACATTAATTTTCATTAAAGATCCCTTGTGGTCAAAATGGATAGAGTTCTCTAGGCTTCAGCCGCCACCTAGGTAAAATTCAGAATTTCCTACCAACTAAAAATGTTTAATGTGTCAGGCGCGCTCATATATGACCGTATGCAGTTGCCAGCGTTGTAAAACACTTACCAAAAAAGAAACCGGTCTTGTAGTCTTCTGTGGGAAAGAAGGAGAAACTGACTGTTTCATGGGAAAGAAGGAGAAACTGACTGTTTCATGTTAGAAGTTGTACAGTGAGCAGAAAGCAAGGTGCGCTGTGGTTTGACTCAGTTTTTATATCCCAGTAGCATATTGTATGTAATATTTGTTCAAGGAGGGTGGATAAGAATTTAAAATTTATCCCTTTTTTCCTTTTGACCAGACTTCCTCCCTTGGACGTCTGTGCCATGAGTGACACACAGCGGGTGCTGCCTCCAACGGCTCCACCAAGTTATACAGAGTCTCAGTTCTCGCCTGCTCCGTCAGTCCCAACTCATCAGCTGGCTCAAGCCCAGACTCCCTCCGAAGCCCCTCCCCCTTACACTCCACCTACCAATCCCCCTTATGCGGAGGCAAGTTCTGGATATCAGAGGTTTGGTAAGATCGGTCAACTTAGTTGTACTTTGTGCTGTTTTTTCTATGACCTACTGTTGTTTAACTCTTGCCAAACACAATTATTTCATCATGCGTAATATATAGACTTGTGGCACACTGAGCAGTGAGTAGCCTCGAAAGAATTAAGTTCTTCATTCTTTTCAGCCAAGAATATTCATATATATATTTTTATTTGATTAATTTCCCCTCACAATATACCTGCAGACTTACTTGGATATTTATCACTCAGCCTATGTGCACTACGGTACACTTAAACCAGTGAACCACTAATTTCTCTATACATCACTTTACATCTGAACTCATTCTGGTGAACCCGTACCTCTCTCAGATGATTTTGTTTATGAGATATATGCTTTGGAAAAACTACTTCCGCAGACAGGCACTCTCATTGTTCTCATGAAGCTGCTGTGACACCAACATTAACACTGTATTTTAATATTTTGGGCAAAAGGAATGGGAAAGAGGGATTTGTTGCCTCATAAATCGTCGTTCACCAAGATTGCAGTTTCTCGAGGCAGCTGTTAGTGAGCTCTGGTTATTTCCGTTTTGATTTTGTATTGTCCCCAGAGCCTGTGGTGGTGAACCAGGTGGAGGTTTTGTCCATTGTTCGACTGGGGCCTGATCCTTGCCAGGTGAAGTGTCCAAGCTGTCAGCAGCAGGGGCTGACCAACATCAGCTACAGGGCTGGTGTGCTCACCTTCCTCACTGCTGTGCTGTGCTTCTTGTTCTGGTAAGTCATTCAGGTGGATGAGGCAGAAGTGTGTGAATAATTTTCCTTCTCTAGAAGTAAAAGATTTTTCCCCTTTATTGGCCTCAGTCTGGCCAGGGACAGACAAGCTTCATGTTGACTGCTCTTTGCCTTGTGTGCTTCCCAGTACAGGGAGAGGGTAGAGTAAAAATGGATCTCAGTATGGTATAATCATTAAGGGAGAGGGCAGTGTGGACCTTGACTTTCGGGGCCAACCCAGGTGATTTTGGAACTTTTTTTTTTAGTTCTGTTTAAATAAATGGTGTTTCAACTTTTTCTTGAATATATTCAATGACTTCGCTAAACTTGGCTTCCCTGATGTTCTAGGGTAACTTATTAGTGTATTAATCTGGGATGCCCTTTTTTCAGTTATTTCCGGTTATTTTGGGCATCGTCCGTTCTTAAATCCGTTTTTCGTTCATCGGATTCGTTCTCCGTTAACCACGCAGAAATGGTTGTGCTGGAAGCCGATTTTCCGTTTTGTTCCATATACAGACTTAGTGGAACGAGGGTCCATATTTTTAATCAACGGAAGTACATTCGCTGAATCAAAATGCGCATGATCTACCGGATGTTTAGGTCTGATTTCAAATGAAGGCCAGGTCAAGCTTTGCGCACTCGGTCTCTCACTTGCTTCGTTGCATGCTAAATCTTGTCTCGAAAAAAGTTTCAGTTATTTTTGCAAAAGCCCAGTGGCAACCCTGATTTATGTACATCATTGTAAAACAATTTTCCCAAGGGGATCGGTTGAGTAGAATTTCTTCTTTTTTTAATGAAAAGTTTTATTTAGTAGATGTATTCCCGAGATGTAGTGACAGCAAAGCAAGACGGTCATGAATTCGTTGTGATTATTAGTCGTGGTTAAAAGTAATACATTACAGTCTAAGCCCTCAGCTTTAGATTGTCGTGTTTAAGGCACGAGGGCAGCTTGTAAGTTATGTCACATGTGTGTATATAAACTTGTATGTGTCACGACGCGGTGGAATCAGGCACTCATCAATTTTCGGGCATATAGAATTACTGGTATTATCTAAAAGCTTATTCACTTCCCTTGCTTTCAATGAAAAAAATACCCTTCTCTCATGAATAGAATTTGAGATATTTGCGATTGAAAGAGGTGGTGGAGTCACCTGGTTTTAAGTTTTAGTGGTAAAATTAGCGAGAAAATGACCGCCAGAGTTTGGTAACTTCAATAGCTTGAGAGTCCTTTAAAGTTGAAAAATTTACATATTTTGTGCTTCTAATCAACGTTTTTCAGTAAAAATCCCACTAAAATGTGTTTTTATATGGACATAAAAGGTGTTGAGACAAAAAACAAAATTTGATAAAATTGCCAAAGTAGTAGGAAAATGCCCTTTTCCACGATTTCATTATTTTGACGAGTGCTTGATTTCACCACAATGCCTCACATAAATATATTTCTCCATATATTTCAGCATTGTGTGCACCTTCCTGCCATTCTGCGTGTCTGACCTGCAGGACGTGGCTCACTACTGCCCTTACTGTGGTTACCACATCGGTACCTACACACGCATGTAGAGCCCAAGATTATAGATACACTACACAACATGCCTTGGGACTCCAGGCGGAGGAGCTGAAGGACATTCCACCCTTGTCTCCTATATTATAAGACCAAACTGCATTAGGATTGTCCAGAATAATTGGTCGCTTTTAAGGACAAGTGGGCTATCCCGAAAAATACTGTTTTGAGAAAATCGAAGTTAAAGTTTTTGCCCCTTGTTCAGTTTCTTGAAAAGACAAGGAGAGTTTTCTCAGGAGAATTTTCTCTATAACCAAACAAATATACACACCAATGAAACCCAACTTCTCCTCCACTTTTGGTGTAGCTCAAGATTTCTGGAAACCCATGAAAACTGGGTTAGCCCACTTGTCCTTAAAAGTGACCAATTATAGACATTTCCAGCATTCTGGCTTTTTTCCCCCCCGTTGTACCGGTGTAAGAAATTGACTTTAAAAAAGCAATGAAAAATGAACTGAAGCTTACTATTGAAATTATAATTTCTTTTTGAATATTTCTGGCACGTTTTGGAAGTTTATTTTCCTGCAACTGGCTTGTGTTTTCTTGAAATGATTGAATCCGTTTAGATCTAATTTATACACTTTTGATGCAATTTTCTTTGAACGAGAAAAAGGTGTATATATATTTTATTGTTTATATTTATTGAGAAAATTTTCTTTACCTAATATTATTCCCTGCATGTTGAACTATACTGCAAATATTTAGAAATTCCATAAGGCTGTTGCCAAGATACATATACTTTGTTCTCCAGTACAGGTCTCCTTCCACTTGTTGCCTTGAGTTCTTCTGCAGAAGAATTCAGCTCTTTTTGCAGAGGTACCGGGTGTAATAGTTAAAGAGTGTGTTGAACAAAAGAGAAGTTCACATCTGATTTTTACTTTGGTTCTAGTCAAGAAACCTTCACTCTAGTCAAGAGGCCGTTTCCATCCCATGATGTGCTCAATATTTTCCCAACCCCTCAGTATTTACATATTTACACTGCTTGGTTTATCAAGTTTGCTCCTGTGGGGATATGGATTTCTTGGGTCTTTCTTTGCACATTTCACTTGCACTGTTCAATTACTAATTATTTATCATGACGTTTATGTTTTGTTTATGCATACAATCAGATCTGACACAGTTTTGTGCTTTTAGATTTAGAGCAAATTCAGCTTTAGTATATAATATAGCCTACTCATGGTGATAGGATAGCCGCCTCTAGGTGTGGGAATAGTTTGTTACTTCATCTTCTCATGCACTTTTATCTCATCTCTCACATGTAGTTGGTGGTTTATAGTATAGGTCTTTTATTGTTGTCTTTGGCTTCCACTTTTTAAAAAGTGGTTCTTTTTTTTCTGTTGTAATCAGTTTGGTTCAAATTGGCTCAAAATCATTGTTGTGGCTTGCCATGAATTGAGTCAGTTTCTTTCAGTGTTTCTGGTCTGGCTATAGTCACTTAAAAAAATTTTATTAGTTAGAAAAAGTGCGAGGCAATATATAGATAGGCGCTAATTTTTCTCAATAAAATTAGCGAAGCACTCAAGAAGAAAGATTCTGTGTGGTTGGTTCAATTGGAATGCTGAGTGGTATAGCTTTTGAGGTGGTGTGTTTTTGTGCAACTTAGATTTACTTAGTCTTTGGATTTGAAAATAATTAACAGTTTTGCCTCTGGAACATTGCACTTGAAACATTCTATGTTAAAAATTCCAAATGTTTTTGTTTCATACTTTACCATGAGACAAATGCTTATGCAACTCCCAGATTTCCACTCTCTTTCTTTTCCTTCCACAATCTGTTGTACAAATAGAGGCCTGTAATTTTAGAGCCTTGGACATTTGATTTGTATGTTTATTCCCTCTAACTCTAACTCTGGTGTGTTTTTTTTACACAATTCCACACGTATGTGCCTTTTTTTTTGTATTGTGCGAACTGTCATATATGTGTGTGCAAAAGACCAATACGTCCGTTACTTGTGTATTACAAAACGTTCCAAGCTTTCAAATCATTTATGAATTATTGGGGGTCTTTTGTCCAGATTCATTTAGATTGAACAAAATGCTGGTCATTTCCATATATTTTGAGGTTTCTCATTCTGTGATGTACTCCCTTCAGTATTGGGTCATAGTGGCCTGTGTGTAGGTTGTGAGGCTTCAAGCGGGTAAAAGTAAAAAGCTTTATTGTGGGGAAAAATTTAGAGGTACTGGTAATAGCATTTGTTCTTTGAGGGAGTAAAGTGTCTGCTCACAGGCACTGAGCTGTGACAGCTAAATTGAAATTGTGATCATTAAAAATTATTTTTAATTGGTTGCTGGTTTATCACATTTAAAATAAAGTTTTTGAAGTTGCAGCGTTTGTTTCCTGTCTTTCTTTCATAATTAGTCCTTCAGCACGTCAATGTTGATTGTCTACCATAGGACCAGTCTGACAGCTGTTCCACTTGACGGTCTACTTGTTTACTATATAATGATGGGTCAGGCTTTGACTTGCAGTTAGATCTAATGGCATTTTGCGTCTTGAAAGATGATCTTATAGCAGTATGCCAGTTGCAGATTTTCCTGGGTTGTAGACATAGAGGAAGTATATATTTTATTGCCCTATTACTACTTCCTTCCCTTCTGATCTTGACTTCCTTGATATGCTCCAAATTTAAGGATGAGACATCATTAGTACGTTTGGAATTAAAGATGTAAGGGTGTGTCTTAGGGTTGTGGATTGTAGGAGACTTCTTAACTAGTACTAAATATACTCATAGGCTGCCGAGTGGAACAGTTGTCAGATTGGTTTTGTGGAAGACTGTCATATACAACAGAATAAATATTGTGGCTTGCCAACTGTCCCAAATTTCCCAGGACTTTCCAGGGTTCGGCAATCGGGGAATTTGAGAGACATATCGCATACACTACACCAAACCCAGCCCCACTTGATGTTATTTAATTTTGTTTATTGTTGCGTAATAAAGCAAAATAAATAAACAAACATGTTACATTTTATTGATCCGCGTAGGGAAATGTGGATTACAATAGCAAAAATACATTAAAAATACCCAATTATAAATACATACATACATTAATAGGCCTACATACATTAATACACATTATAATATTATACCAATTCCCAACCAATTCACAAACATACCATGTAGGCCTAATCTGTTTTGATGTTGGGTGTCCCTGATTGGGTTTTGAAAAAGTTGGCTGACCTGAGCACCCACATTAAACAAAAAAGGTAGCCTCCTATAGGCCTGTGGTGAGAGTTATAGTTACAGTACAGTTGAAATGGTCCAAGACGGCCACCTATTGTCGAGGACAAAAGTTGGTGTCTTTGGCAGGTGGACGTTTTACGCTGTCAATATATAATATTTAAAAAATATTATTTAATACGAAAGGGAAGAAATAGGAAGTGGCCTTTTGAACAAGTGATTGTCATACTCCTGGTGGCCGTTAGAGTTAGAGCAGGTTCGACATTACTTCCCTTGGAATACTTTCCAACGAGCTCGGAGAAAATAGAGGCTTGTTGCTTTTTTTTTGTTAGTGTTTTACGGCGACCGCAACTGCTTCAGGTCCTATGAGAGAGCGTATGTGTAGAGGGTCCTATGTGTATTGTTTTCTTTCTAAATGCACAACAAATTACTGATACTGATATGTTGTTTTCAATTATTCTGTACATAAAACATGAAAATCATGAAAATTCTTGCTGAAAAAGTGCAAAACATGTCGCAAATGGTGTTACGGTAACTTGCATAATTTTGCTTTTTTTGTGCATAATTTGGCCATCTAAATTTGCATAATTCTACGGGGACTGGATAGGAAACAGCCAAAATGTTGAACCAACTCGAAAACTCCCTTACACCCCAAGCTCAAAAACACCCCTAGGAAATTTGAACCAGGATTATCCGCACCATAGTCCATCATGATAAAAACTTAACGAACGGACGCGTTTATCGAGGCCTATAATCTTAAAATTATTACGTACACGTAATTTCAAGCCAGAAGCTAATGTGAATACTCAACGACAATGTAAACATAATATACCATAGAATCCTCATGACCGAAAAGGTTTGAAATTTTCCTTTGGATCTTCTACATTGTCCACCAAATAGCGGAAATCTGAAATAGTGTCACTTTGAATGTAGAGTGAGTTTTTTTGGTGTGGGCTCAGACAATATTAATGTGCTTTCTTTTGGGCATTTGGACCTGACTTGATTACCTCATCGTTACCATCATTGCCTTTCTCACCCTGCACCAGGGTATAGGCCACGGACAAACACATTACACCTTTCTCTATCCTGGGCTAGCCTCTTACTCTTGATATTATTCCATGTCTTCCCATTTTTCTGTACATCGACTTCTGTGATTCTTCTCCAGATTTCACGCGGTCTTTACCTTGATCTCTTGCCCTGTGGATTCCAATCCAAAACTTTCTTTGTTATGCAGCAGCCTGACTTCCAGAGAGTATGTCCAATCCATCGCTACCGCCTTCTTCCTACCTCATCTCTGACTGGGATCTGTCTTGTTTTCCTTAAAACTTCCACATTGGTGACCCTGTCTGTCCATCTGATCCTCAGTTACTTTCTTAGACATCTGTTCAAGAAAACCTGGATCCTCTTTATGCAAGTCTGTGATGTGTTCCATGTCTCACATCCATACAACAGGATTGACTTCACATTTGAATTGAAAATCCCCAGCTTTGTTCGCAGTGAGATATCTCTGGTCTTCAAAATCCTATCCAAAGATATGAAAGAAGCCTGTGCTTTTCCAATGTGGGACTTTATTTCAGCACCTGTTCCCCCTCTCTGTCAATTATACTCTCAAGATAGCAGAAGGATTCGACGTCTTCTGGTGCATTTCCTTCTATTGTGACCTACCCCTCGATCTTAGCCTCCCCCCCCCCCCCCCCAATAAAGAAACAAACTAAAAACAACAACACAACAAAACCCACGAACAAACACCCACTCCCCCAAACGAACAAACAAACAAATACACTGCTGCACCCCTCCCACCCCCCCCCCCCATATTTCGAGACATCTAACAGTCTAATACCGGCACACTATCTGTGGAAGTATCAAACGATACAAGGGTGCTCCGTTAGCTCTGTTGGTGTCATGCTGGTCTACGGAGCATTTAGGTGTTTTTACGCCCCCATCAACACACTCTCTAAACCTTTTTAACTCCCAGAGGCCATCAACAACATTTCTCCATCGAGGCCTGTCCTG